GCTGCAGTACAGCGTTTTAACCACTGCGCCACAAGGTTCATTAATTAATAATGTTATTAATTCTTCTTTAGTATTTGAATAATTCACTGTTTTTAGCTTTTAATATTGTGTTTTTCATGATGTAAGCTGCCTTGGGTCCTTTTTTTAGGAGAAAGGCAGGGTAAAATATTTTAAATAAATAATTGGAATAACTGAATTATGTTCATCAAGGCACAGTCTAACTTTATGGCTTTCCACCCTAGTTCCTGTTTCAGCTGATTATACAATGTGTTGGCAGAAGTGTTTCATACGTATCACTTCTACTTTGCCATGATTGTAGCTACCACTGATGTAAAGTTGAGTTACTCCAAGTGCTACACAACAGGATGTGAGCCACGGTTGTGAAGGCAGAGGTCCCATGAGTTTGGATACTGGATCAGCAGTGTTCTTCAGTCACCACTAGGTGTCAGTGATGAACTTGATTCAAAATGGGTTGCTTGTCAACCCCACTCGATGCATACAGAAAATTGTCATTTTGATTTCAGTGCCATTTTAATTTTAGTTAGATGAAGTTAGGGGATCTAATGAGAATGCCCACCGCTCCAGTCCTGTACACATTTGCTTAAGACTCAGTCTCGCTGAGTTCATTTGAACCATTCCCAAGCTATAAGTTGACCCTTTTAAGACCAGGGCTAGCTATAATTCCAACTTTTTAACTGGTGTTTAGCAAAGCCAGTTTTAAAAAGATGGGGCAGGTCATTTAATGAAGACAGCTGTTATTCATGGCTCACCTTTTGTTATGTGCTGTCAAGTTGCCTCCAACTTAGGGCAACCCTATGAATGAACAGCCTCAAATATCCTGTCCTCAACAGCTCTGCTCAGTAGGGCAACCCTATGAATGAGCAGCCTCAAATATCCTGCCCTCAGCAGCTCTGCTCAGCTCCTGTAGACTCTGTGGCTTCCTTTAGACCAAAAATCTCGCTTTTGGTATTTTCCTGCTGCCTTCCACCTTTCCCAGCATCATTATCTTTTTTCCAGAGAATCTTGCCTTCTATTGGTAGTGCCCAACGTAAGACAGCCTCAGTTTCAACATTTTTGCCTCTAGAGATAGTTCGGGCTTGATTTGAACTAGGACCCACTTGATCATCTCTCTGGCCATCCAGGGTACCTGCAAAACTCCTCCAGCATCACAGTTCAAATGAATCCATTTGTTTCTTGTCAGCTTCCTTAACAGTCCAACTTACAGACCCATACATAGGGATCAGAAATACAAGTGTGTTCGTGTTCTTTGTCTTGCTCTCCAATGACGCATTTTTACACTTGATGATCTTTTCTAGTTCCATCATGGCTGCCCTTCCTAGTCCCACTTTTACTTTATTCTTTTCTTACTTGATCGGAAATACAAGTGTGTTCGTGTTCTTTGTCTTGCTCTCCAATGACGCATTTTTACACTTGATGATCTTTTCTAGTTCCATCATGGCTGCCCTTCCTAGTCCCACTTTTACTTTATTCTTTTCTTACTTGATTCCTAGGTCGGACAGATGCAGATTTTAAGACGCCAGATAGCCAATGAACTGAATTATTCCTGCAGGTTTGACTCCAAGCACTTAGCAGCTGCCTTAGAGAACCTCAATACGTAAGAATCAACATTTGTCAGTTGTGTTTCCATGATGAAGATTATTTTCTGTGTTCTAAATTGCATCCAAAATTTGCTTCCTTGATGATCTTCTGTGTTCTAAATTGCATCCAAAATTTGAGCTCTCTATTGCTGATTGGTTCAGAAACCACAAGCTTTGGGTGGAACAAAGAGATAGTTGCTCCTTAATGATCTCAAAGCAGATTGAGAAGTGACTTTCTTACCGACAGCACAAGATTTATTGTGGAGGGAGATACTGGTGAGGTTTTAGAATTCCTCAAAGTCTTCCCCCAGATTTATGCTACCTACAGTTGAGGATCTTTCCTACCTGTGCTCCCAAATATAAATTACAGTGGTGCCTCGCTAGACGATGACAATCCGTTCCACTGAAATCGCTGTTTAGTGAAATCATTGTCTAGCGAAAAGCAAATTGTCGTCTAGTCAAAATCGGTTTGCGAAGCAGGGACCAAATATTGTCCAGCGAAATTCACCCATAGGAATCACTGTTTTGTGAATCACTATAGCAATCGCAAAAATTCAATGTCTAGCGAAAAAACTGTCATGCGGGATAACTGTCTAGCGAGACACCACTGTAATTTCTTGCCCTATTAAAATGGGGGTAGCAAAAGATCTTGGGCCAGCCACTATTTTCACATATTACATTTAGTTAAAATCTGCCGAAGAAGAAACCAGGTCCAAATTGTAGTCTTGGAAGGAGGTGGAGTCAGAGGAAACCCTTTAAAATAGAAAATTCTTCAAGAAAAAGCTGGAGGATGCTCCCGTTATTGCCTGCAGACAAAGTTACAGGCTGAAGTCTTTTAGAATGGCTTTTAATATTTTGAAATGGGTTCAATGGCAAAGAAAAATCATTTCTGAATTTATTTAGTGGTTCATAGGTTTGACACAGTTTCATAAGAGCTATACAGTTCATTAACTTGAACAGGTAACCAGAAATCCCTGCAATGGACATAGAAAGAATCACACCTAATTTGGAGATGGACAAGGGCAAGCCAGCTGATCAGAGAATGTGAGAGAAGCAATTGAATCTGAAAGTTGAATTTTTCTGAGGTTGGCTAATGCCCTGAGTCATCACGCAATTTCCACCTGATGAATTGGGATGGCAGAAAATTGATATCTCTCTCCCCCCACCCCACCTGCCTTCCAGAGCAATCCTGGCTGACATAGAAGCCCATTATCAGGATCCGTCACTTCCATGCCCTAAAGAAGATAACACCCTCCTGTATGAGCTCACAGCATACCTGGAGGCAGCTGGAATCCACAATCCATTAAATAAGGTGATTCTCTTTTTCCCTTTATGACTAGGATGGGGAATATATAGTATTCCAGATTTTGCTGCATTGCAATTCCCAGCATATCTTGTCATGTGATTTTCTGGTGCAGGGTGATCGGGGTTCGACTAAATATAAATGGAAAAAATATATGAAATATTTAAAAATATAAAAATGATCTGAAAGATCACGTCTTCTTAGCCGTGATTTATGAGACTGCATACATTAATGTATACGTAGTTGGTTGGATAGATCAGTGGTTTAGCAATCTGGCTGTGGAGCCGGAGGTTGGGAGTTAGTGGAGCCAGAGGTTGGGAGTTATTGGTGCCTTATTGATTGTATCATGATACTATATTTAATGGGTTATATTATTCCATTCTGTTTTGTTTTTATTAATGCTGTTGGTGGCTTATTGATTGTATCACGATACTATATTTAATGGGTTATATTGTTCCATTCTGTTTTGTTTTTATTAATGCTGCAGGTTACCTCGAGAATTTCAACTACATATCAGCCTACTAGATGTATAGACAGCAATAAAACATCTAAAATTTTCTTCTTCCTCTTTTCTTTCTTTCTAGATCTACATAACAACAAAGCGATTGCCCTATTTCCCGGTTGTGAATTTTCTGTTTCTGGTTTCACAGTTGCCAAAACTTCAATACAGTAAAAACCTAGGTACGGTAAAATCATTTCTGTAACCTGTGATTTCAGACATGGATGGTTCTAGCAAAGAGACATGAGGTTTGGTTTCTCCCCATTCCGTTCGGCAAACATGGTGGAGATGGTGAATCGTTTTAATAATCTCCAGCTAGTTCCGTGGAGAAGGAAGGGGAAAGGCTTGCAAGTTAACCTGTTTGCTTTCCAGCCTTTCCCAATCTGGATCGCTCCAGACCTCTTGGCCTGCAATTTTCCATCAGCCTTGAGCAGCATGACCAAATAAGGCAGATGATATGAATTGTAAGCCCAGATATCTAGAGGGATCAATTTAAGGAAGGCCAGTTTTAAAAGATGCTAAGGTGGCTTGCCTTGGAGCCTGGCAAAACCAACCAGTCCTGACACTGACTCTTTACTTCTTATGGAAGTGTGTGTTTTACATGCACAATTAAATTCTCTACCTCTTATCTGTGTATACTCTCCACATGAGCAAGCACTACAGTTTTTTCACATTCTGGCTCTCATGGAGCGTCTACAGCACGAGACAGCCTTTTGCTCTTCAGACCATCATTTTTGTGCAATCAGAGTGTGGACACAGGAGACAGAGGCTTCATGTATGGAGTACACATGCTTTTGTCATGAATAAATGACAGTACTTGATAGCATATCAGGAGGTGGAGGAGTGAGTTGTTATTTTCAACTGTACATAGCGCCCAGGAATAACAGTACCAAATCAAATTGGTGGTAGCCTTGACTAGACAAGACAGTGGGTAATGGGACTAAATTGAATTTAAGTCTCCGTTGCTTTATCCATGCCATTTAATTACAAATAGCTAGCTAATGAGTATTACCAGCCACAGGTTTATGGATCTCTCCCATTGCCATCAATAAAACCTAACAGGGCAACTATTGCTCTTAGAAGGGACCAACAAAAGATGCTTTCCATGGGAGGCATTTAAAACTGATGCAAGCCCCATCATTGGCTCATCATTATCTGCCTTTCTAATTTCCATGTCTTTCTAGGAGTGTTCCTCCTGCATCATAAAGTAAGAGCAGCTGGATACCACTTTTAACAAGCATGGCTCCATCTCTAGAATCCTGGAATCTGTAGTCTGCTGAAGTATTTAGAATTCTTTGCTAGAGAGCTCTAACTACCTTAGAGAGAGCTACAAACTCCAGGATTCCACTGGATGAAGCTACGGCAATTGTACCACAAGTTGCAGTAAACGCCAATTTTGAGCCCTAAGAGAGATGTAAGCGCTTTCTCCCTTTTAAATGGATTTCTCGGGTTGCTCTCCTCAACACAGCAAATCAAGTGTCGGTTAGAGCAGTCCCCTGTGGCTTGAGTGGGGTGTTCTCCATGCTGGTTTTGGTGGCATGGGGAGTATCCTTCCTCCCGTTCCACATCTGCTCTATAAAAACAAGCCATTGCCATGGACAGATGGCCCATCACAGAGGTCAGATCCAAGGGGCCTCCTCAAGGAGACTGTAGCTTGTACATCAACCCTGACCAAATGAGAAAGGTTTCTTTTCGTTTTTTCTCCAGGAATGGTGTGCAAAAAGGCAGCCGATCCAATAGACTGGCCCCCTCTAGTGCTTGGACTCCTCACTCTGCTGAAGCAGTTTCACTCCCGATACACCGAGCAGTTCCTGATGCTCATTGGCCAGTTTATTCGTTCAACAATGGAGCAGTGCACTAGGTACCTGTTTCTTTTTCTCAAGAGCCTGAATGTTTGTGGAGTCACACACTGGAGTTGACGTATATTTTTACAATAAACAGGAGGAATGAATTTGATCTTTTAAAAATAATATTCTGAAATTCACAATAAAACATTGGAAATGCAGTTTTCAAAATATTATCCTTGGGCTTGTCCCATGAATGCAAAAGTAGTAATGGTAACGTCAGTGCCTTGCATGTCACAAGGCGTTGCTAAGCCCTTCCTTGCATGTCTGCTCAAGATGGGCATGAACTGTGGGTGTTCTGTGGGTGCTGCGCACTTTGCTTCCCTGCCTCCTCTGTAACACCTGCCCACTTACCAGGTACAGCACGCTTACCTCCTCTGTTTTTTTTAAGTGCGATTGTCCACTTATTGGCAGCACCGTGGGCTCTCCTGCCTCACCTTGTCTGATTGGATGATCACACAGAGAAGGCAGAAGAGGGAAATTCCTGCTCTAGATGAGTGGCTTCCAGCATTGGATATCTCAGGTGTTTTTGGGTTGCCATGCCTAGAAGCCTTCACCCTCAGCTGGGCTGGCTAGGGTTTCTGGGAGTTGCAGTCCAAGAACATCATCTGGGTTACCCAAGCTTGGGAACCACTGATCTAGATGGACGGTAAACCTTCCCCCCCACACACACACGCCCGGGTCTTTTACCACCAACTACCTGGGCCACAAATCCTTATTATTTTAATACTGTATATCTAGATGGACGGTGAACCTTTCCCCCTCCACCCACGCCCTGGGACACAAATCCTTATTATTTTAATACTGTATATAGTGGTGGCTGTGGTGCTCTGATAACTGGATAATTACTGACATGAAGTTCATGAAGCTGAGTAATAACTAGTAGATATCAGGCTGAATCTATATTTCTCATAGCTTCAGAGCCCTCTAACCCTTACACCCCACCCCACTGGCTTCATTTTTAATTTTTCATAAACTGTATATTGATACTACTGAATATAATGAACTCCAGATGTTTTCAACCAGAACTCTTATTATTGCGCTGGCTGGAGCTAATGGCAACTGTAGTCTTAATTCATCTAGAGGGCACTAGGTGGCTTATCATAGAGTACATTTAGAGACATGTGTACTATTTATAGACACAAGCACATTTCGTCTTGACATAAACACATTGTCTCTTGAAGATTTTCTCAATTTGTGCTTTTGTGTTTGTTTATAGCCAGAAGGTGCCAGAAATGCCGGCAGATGTTGTGGGTGCCCTGCTTTTCCTAGAGGACTACGTTCATTACACGAAGCTACCGAGAAGGGTGAGTAAAGGCTCTCATTCAGAAAAGAAGAGAATGAAAAATAACAGACCAAGTTCACACAAAGCAGATAGAAAACATTAGAATATCTTTTGCACTGAGCCTCGTAGTGCAATGTTTAAACTGCAGTGCTGCAACCAAAATTCTGCTTATGAGTTCAATCCCAGATATGTGGTTCAAGGTTTACTCAGTCTTCCATCCTTCCAAGGTCTGTAAATTGAGCATCTAGCTTGCTGGAGGGCAAGTGTATCTTGCAATGTGTATCCTGCATAATTATCTTGTAAACTGACCAGAGAGTGCTTTAAGTGCTATGGGGCAGTGTACATAAGCAACATGCTTTGCTTTTTGCTGTATATCAAGGTTTCTTCCATATGTGTCTTGTATCAGTCCTTAGTCCACTTTTGAAAGAAAACGTAGTTTATAACACCATTTCTGAGAAACCCCAGAAACGTAATCCCTGACATCTCTAGTTTAAAAAGATCTTTGAGAGCAGGGCGAGAACTTGGGAGGGCCCAATACAAAATAAGCAGCAACATCACACATTCAGCCTAGCTCTAAATAGCCATGTTGCACCTCCCACTGCATATGTCGGTTCTCAACTTCTCCACATTAAATGAAGTCAAGGGCCTTCTTACATCCTGATGGCCATGTTGCACCTCCCACTGCATATGTCAGTTCTCAACTTCTCCACATAAAATGAAGTCAAGGGCCTTCTTACATCCTGGTGGTCATTTTGCGTGTGATCTTAAGTAGTGTAGCTGGCTGCATAAGGTATCTATGGAGCTAGAGGTTGGGTATTTGATTCCTCACGGTGCCTCCTGTGAGTAGACCCATCCTATGTGGACTTGGGTTGGGCGCAGTGTAGCTGGCTGCATAGCTCATTAAGGTATCTGGCTATGGAGCTAGAGGTTGGGAATTTGATTCCTCACGGTGCCTCCTGTGAGTAGACCCATCCTATGTGGACTTGGGCAAGCTGCACATCCCCAGGATGCTCCCAGAAGAAGGGAAAGGGAAACCACTTCTGGGTGCTGTCTATCTGGGGGAAAAAGCCTGGAAAGGATCACTGTAAGTCAGAATTGCTGTCTATCTGGGGGGAAATCCTGGAAAGGATCACTGTAAGTCAGAATTGACTTATAATTATTAACTAAAAGACCCAGAAGTGGCTGTATTCATAGGCACTTGCCTTTCCCTGCTGCTTAATATTATCCTGGGTGACAAGGTGTGTAAGCATTATATATGCTACTTTAACTAAGGTTCAGAGTAATACCTGGAGTCCTTCTTTCTTTCAGGTTGTAGAGGCTCATGTGCCTAGTTTCATTTTTGATGAATTTCGAACCGTTCTGTGAACCCGAGCAAATGATGCCCCAGGATCCGAAGATGTAAACGGACTCAAAGAGAACATATGGATCAAGTGTTAAAATAGCACTTCAGAACTGTCTTTTCAACTTGCAGAACTAATCTGAGTGCATGAATGTAACCATTGACAGTAACCTCTTATAATTAACTTTGTTTCGAAATCATGCCATTGTGCTCAAATAATTGCTTGACACTAGCAGTTTGTACTTACCCTGTAATGTTGTACACTATTACTTATGGACAAAAATTGTGCAGTTTATGTTCTTAGAAGAGAATTTGTGGACATAGAATGACATTTTGTATAGAAATTAAAATACTGAAAAGAAAGGGTGGTATGTGTTGTTTTTTGCTTTTTTGCCAGGTTTTCCTAGGTTGCTAATATGTTAATTTACTCTGCACAATTGTTTGGTGAGATTCACTGTATCTGTAATCTAGTGTGGATTCCTAATCCTGAATATTTGAAACAGGTCAGTGTAATGTGTGGACACAGGACATTTAATGTGGTAAAGTGTAACAGTTGAAACCCTAAACTGTGGTTAAGGATTGGCCGCAAAACATGGAGAGGATTTTCAAACTGGGTGATACTAATCACGGTTGACTGTTGCATCTGTAGCAAACCATAGTGAAATAGGGAAGGATCCTTGAGCTGCCCTGTGCATGCATACTGGAACCAGCTTAGATCAGCAAATTAGGGCATGAGTTCAGGAGAAATTTGAGGTCATGGCTGTGGTCAGGGTAGTGGACTATGTCATCATCAATCTTTTTATTGGTTGTTGTGGGTTTTTCAGGCTCTTTGGCTGTGTTCAGAACACGGCCAAAGAGCCCGAAAAACCCACAACAACCATTAGATCCCAGCCGTGAAAGCCTTCACGAATAAATCTTTTTATTCCAGGGCATGTGGCAAGTTTCTAAGAATATTATAAAAACTTCCAACTCTGGTTTGGACCAAATAGTGGGGTGCAACTTTCCTATCAATAATTGAAGTATTCAGTTTCTGTGTTCAACTGTGCAAGGCGAGGCAAGATCAAGCCCGGACAACTTACACCACCACACAATATTCTACATTTTATGTTGCTGCAGATAAGGAAGGAAGGCGACGATCATGTCAGATGCGGGATGAGAAGCACAGTCAGCACAGGGGAATAGCAGTCAAAAACACAATCCAGATCACATCTGCAAGCCCAAGAGCTGTGAATTGTGAGCAGAGCAACATTAGTTACAAACCATTAACCTTAAGGTCTACAGCCCAAGCTTTTAACTAGCTTGTACAGGTGCAGTGACAGTAACAAGGCTTCCATCACTGCTTCAAGAAGCTTGTTTCTCTCTTTATTTTTGCTCCACACGTTTAAAGTTACGTTGATAAAAGAAAATAATTCTTCTGGAAATCTAGCCAAATGGCTGGCATTTCTTCCCAAGAACGTAACTGCTGAGAAAGCCTGAAATACAGTGGGACAAAACCGGAAATAGTAATCCAGGCCCTTCTGTTGCTTGGTTACTTTCAGTCTCAATCTTCCAAGAAACAACAGTTTGGCACAACAGAGAGGCATAGAGTACCGATTTAAGCCTCCAAAGGAAAACTCACAATGTGAAGTTTTTTTTGGGGGGGGGGCAGGGACGCAAAACGGGTAGGCCACAAGAGGGACCCCAGAAACCACTGGACATTGAAGTCGAAAAGGAGGGCACCAGGTGAGTGACCAGAGCAGCCATCCCCAAGCGTTCTGCCATCACCCTTTTTTTGAGAAATCCTCTCCACCACCTTTCCAACCACAGTTTAACAAAAATAAGTTGATTTTTTAAATTAAAAATACTGATACCTATAATGGAAATTTGGTTTGTAGCCCCATTTTATAACTAGCATGCTTCTTGGGAATGAGAAGTTTTAAAAACTGGAGTGGAGGTGTAATTTATTTATTTATTTATTCGATTTCTACCGCATGCTCCTTGGAAATGAGAAGTTTTAAAAACTAGAGTGGAGGTGTAACTTTATTTAATGAATTCCATTCAATCAACAACACTTCCATTAGCTTCCAGAAACTGTTCTTTATTTATTTACTTATTACATTCTACTATGAGGCAGGAAGAAATAAAAGACAAAAACAGCACAGCAGGAAAAAAAAACACACAAATGTGTCTTTTGTGGGCAGTAATGATCTTCTGACTCCTGTCTGGACACAACTCTGTGTATACAAACCATGCCATGTCCTTTTGCCCGATCCCCACTGGGATAGACCCAGAGTGCTACAGTTACTGTGTTACCAACCATGTAAATCAGTTTAAAAATGCAAAAAAATACCTTAACCACAGGATAGCAGAAACACAACGATCTATCATGAAAAAAAAGTTAAGGACTCTAGCTACAAATGGCAGCAGCAGCACATTATGGTGTTATTTGTACAAGTTTAGGATTAAAGGAAAAGTACAGGGCACACTTGTATCACTAATTTACTCAAGCAGCAGACATGAGACCATTGTTCCCACTTGGATTGCAGGCCGGGGAAATCATGCCTGAATGCTCCCCAAATAGAAAAGTCTCCATAATTTAAAAACTGTTCAGCAAGAGGATTATCTTCTAACCTCTGCTAGATTTCTAGGTACAGAGGCTTTCTTCCAACTGGGAAAGAGTTAGAAAACAGTTTTGCAGCATTAAGCGGTACAGCCCAGCAAGAGTTTTACTGAAATATCTGTTGTTTTAAGTAGACCAGATAGCAAGGGCTAGTAGTCTGCATACCACCTTCCTCAGCTGTCCCATCTGCACATGGCTGGTGTGGATGGTGTGGTCTGCAAATAAAGCCATAGGGAATTCCTGAGGACAACATTAAGTTGTTGTTGTGTGTTTTTTTAAAAAAGCATTGCTGAAACTGTAGAAAGCACTGTAATCATTCGCAGCACTGATCTGCAAATAAAGCCACAGGGAATTCCTGAGAACAACATTAAGTTGTTTTTTTTAAAAAAAAACATTGCTGAAACTGCAGAAAGCACTGTAATCATTCGCAGCACTGATGTTGCTTTCGTGCAGGGGACACAGATGATTGCCATCCCATGTCAGATTCTATAGGCCCTAAAAAGGCAGTGTTATAGCTCCATTGACGAGAGTTGGAAGAACGACTGTGCAGCATATGATGTAACAATACCCTATTACTGTTCTTAGAAGATAGGGAACGCATAACGCGTGTTCTTCTACTGATACGCCCATCAACCACAACCAGACTGATCGCGACTGATGGGTAATGGGCACTGCAGCCCAGTAATGCCAAGAGGGCCACTGACCCTCATCTTTGCCTTGCAGCTTCCTCCTCTGGCTTTTTGTCACAGATGTGACATCTACAATGTTGGCAAAAATCGGACTGAATCCGCAAGTCCTGCCATATCGCACGACGTCAAGCTCTACTGTGGTTCAAAATGGCACCTCATCTGGTTCTTTTCTGCTCCATATTTTACAGCTATTCCAACCACTTCTTTGATTCCTGCTAGCCATCTGTCTGCCTGCCCCTTCCCCACCTCCCCTGTTTGCCACTTCCTCGCTCATGCCTGTTTTCAAGACTACGACTAACTTAATGAGGACAGTTGCTTGAAACAGAAAGAGCCCCCTTGCGATTCGGGAGGCACCCGGCAGCGCCTCCAGGGAGCTCAGGACCACCTCTGCTTCCCCACCCCATCACTCTCCCTCAACTTCATTATTTTTTCTTCACGTTGCTTCCATTCATGTGTGTGGATGTGCAATTCCTTTTTAAAACCAGTAATGACATCGCACATCTAAAGATGCACATAAAGCCCTTTTTCAAAAACTAAAAAGGGGTGGGAACATTCCTATCGGCCATGTGTGCACACACTTACATGGGGGGGTGGCTGTTACAAGTGACTCTGTGCATGTTTACCGTTACCCTCCAGTAAATATATTTCCTCTGGATTATTATGAGTGATGGAGTGGTGATACGTTTAACCACAGATGGACAAATTGAGTACGACGTTCTATTTTATCTGACAGTAAAGGGAAGTTTCACATTAATATCAACCAAAGAATATACAGATAGCAGTAGCACCCTTTTAAGATTTCAATATGCCCCTTCTTTGTTTTGTTAACCTTCATGAAAACAAAACTGGGCATGCTCAGGTCAGCAGTTCAGGTATCAACTTAGTAGTGCTCCTTGTAAACATCTACCTCTTTTGGAAACTTCATTTCTATACTTGCATATTTCTTCTGTGTGTATTGTAGTCACACAAGCGTATTCATCTCTTTACATCTAAGAGCCAAATTGTTCCATTTTATAGAACACTACCACAAGGCCCCTTTAAAAAGGAATGGGGAAGATACGGAGCACCAAATGTTACTGGACATCATCTCCCCAGGCTCAGCCAGCGTGGACAACAGTTACAGAGGATGAGAGCTCTCGCCCTCCAAGAGTATCTGAGAGGACACAGGTTCCCCGTTCCTGCCTTAAAACAAACTGTAGTACAGAGAGCATACCTGAGCCAGCACTGTATAGCAGAAACCAAACAAACTTAGTTCTCTCTTAGTTCATAGGTGGTAAAACCTATGTGGAATTCAAACTGCAAATACGCCTCAATAAGACAGAATGTTCCCCTACTAAAATTATTCTCTGGGCATAACAAAAATATATAGGGGGAAAGATTTTATTGTAGCTTTATCCCTGATGTGCTAGCTTGCTATATGCAGGGTGAGGGTTAGGGTTTTATATGGGTTAGGGTTTTATATGGAACAGTTCTCAACCATGCAAATTCCCACCTTATAGTCACAAAGAATGCAGCCCTGAAGTCTGTTTACCATCTAACTGTAAGCTAAGCTAACAATTCATGGATTATCTTCTCTTGTGTACAGGAAAGAGCCCTTATAATACGGGTTTTATTGTACATCCAGCTCTTAGCCCCAGGGTCACAAAGGGAAGGGACGAGCATGGCATGGCAGCCACCAAATCAGAGACAGTTCATTTCCACTTCCGTGTTATAGAGATCCATTCTCACAAAGAGAGCCACAATTAACTCCCTTCTCCCTTCCACACATTATCTATCACAGATATAAATCACTTGAGGATTCCAGGTCTGTGCCCCTAGAACTTACAAATACAAGTGTGTCAAGCTGTCTCTCTCTCTCTCTCCATATAGAAATCTATTCAACTAAAATAATCACATAAGGCCAAATCCTTTACAAAAAAGAAGATTTAACAAAAACAGAAGAGACAGAACCGACCCGTTCCATATCCACAAGACAGATGAGGCAAGGGATACAAGTTGTTCCTCTTCTTGAAGCTTTGTCTCTCTGACTTCAATAGATGAGGTACCTTAGTTCAGAGTATACAAGAGGAAATAAGACAGAGCAAGCCCGGTACAACACTGCAAGGCTGCTGAAAATTGCCCGAGGCATGGTGATCCAAGATTCTGACTTGAAACAGATATAAACAGCATAGAGAGCGACCGCGAAGAAGTGGCCAATCAGAACGAGAGGCTTGGGTGATAAGCTGGCGGGGGAGAAAGAGAATGAAAAAGTAGCCCACATTAGAAAAATGCTAGAATTTAAGAAACAATAATCCATTGACGTTGCTAGATTATAACGTCTCTTGAAAGGCAGCTTCAGATTTGCTAATCTCTACGCGTTCCTGGATGAATAAAATGTTTTATTATTCCTGAAGCTTCCCTGCTTTCCACATCTATTATTTTCATTTAGTGCTTAAACGTGGAGACCATCCCTCTCACTGGCTAAAAGCCAGTGGCTTACAATCAAAAGGCCACAGGTTCAGTTGCTGACAGCTCCAGGTGAAAGGTAGGACATGATATGGAAAAACCCCTCTTGCCCCAAAGCCCTGGAGACCCACCGTGTCTTAACAGGTAGTATTTGGACTAGATGGATAATTATTCCTGTTTTGTGTAAGGCAACTTCCTACGTTCCCAAATAATAATCAATGGTGTGCAGTAATCTAGACAGATGATTCTGGGACACTTCTTCTCCAGGGCCTTTCATTCTTTAATAGTTAGGCCATGATTTAGATCAGTGATGGCGAACCTATGGCACACGTGCCACAGCTGGCACACAGACCCCTCTCGGTGGGCACATGAGCCATAGGTCACCGGATATTGGCACTCCCCTCTGCTGGTGAAGTGGTCCAGTGGAGGGGTCCAATGGCGACCATTACCAGTCTAGCCCAATGGGGGATTGGAGGACCGGTAAGTATTTATTTGTTAATACTGCCTATGGGGGGAAAAACCCCAGCATAACAACCTCAGCATTCAGGTTTTAATTGCAGCATTTGCACCTTGAAAGAAATAAGTTGATTTTGTGTTGCAGTTTGGATACCTGGTCTCAAAAAGGTTCACCATCACTGATTTAGATGATTTCATTTACACAAGTGTAAATCGCTTTTACATTAAATTAAAACTAAGAACAAGTTTTTCTTGTCACAAAAAGTTAATCAAGCGACATCTACTTTAGAATTTTTTAAGCCGATTTACTTTACATTTTTGTTTGTTCGTTTTGGTTCATGCAATTCTCACTCTCAGCCCTGCCCTTCAGGTTTATCCATGCTCCCTAGCTCGGGAACCAATATCTCAGACATGCAAACTGAATCCTGGACTGCATGCTAACCACTACAACCGTCCCCTCCAGCATCAATTTCAGTGAAAGTCATAAATATTTCCACAACTTACACAGAAAGTAATCCAACGGGACCAGATACACACTCACCACCCAGCCTGAAGTAAAGGAAGCAGGCTCTCCTTAACTGATGCAGGGAATCTGCCAAACAAAGAGAAAGCAAAATTACATTACAAAAAAAAGCAAAGCAAGCAAATGAAATAAATGACAGACAAGTCTGAAATATACATGATAATGCCACCCCAGTGCCTGTAATATATTTAGCAAGGTTACCGTACACCTAGTTGACAGCAAGGAGGGGGGAATATACATTTCTAGAAGTCGCCAGAAAAGACCATGATGATAAGGGTTGTCCATGGAATGGACCAAATTATAGAACAATTTATTCTAAATGTGACTTTTTGAATGTAGAAATCACATCACAACTAAGCCTTGCACCCCTTAAATGAGATTCCTGTGTATTGAAGACAAGCTATATTTATGAAGAAGTGAGCTACAGTCCACAAAACCTGCCAAGCAAAACCATTGGAAAGGAACTTACCATCTGTCGCAGCAAATAATTCGTAAAGAGCCTGAGCAAGAATATTGACCACAAAGGAGTGGGACTTCTTTCTCGTCCAATAAAATGTCTTCTTGGCCTGCCAAAGACAAGCAATCCAATGTACCATCAGAGTGCAATATAACATCAATACCGTAAGCACTCTATCTATTCCTGTGTTAGGAAAATGGAATATATTGCAAGTGTTTTCCAGCAGCAAAGAATAGTACAGTGGTGCCTCACTTAACGAGCGCCTCGCTGAGCGATGAAATCGCTTAACGAGGCACTCTGGGCCATCGCTGGAGCATTCGCTCAGCGATGGCCCCTATGGCGATTTTTCGCTTTGCGATATTCGCTAAGCGATTTGCTTAGCGAATATCGCATAACGAAGCGGGGGAGCATTCCTGTGTTAGGAAGATGGAATATATTGCAAGTGTTTTCCAGCTGCAAAGTATAGTACTATGGGGCACTGTCTGTAGACATGAGGATTCACCACATGGCATGAGACATGAAAAGTAATTATATCAATACTTCCATGGATGTACAGAGTTGGTTGAGAACATTAGTCCATTTAAAATTGTAACTTACACTCCTCACTTTGCAAACTGCTCTTTAGACTGATTCATGCTGAATACATGCTATTATGGAACAATACTCAAGACTCCTGAACAGATTCCTGAAAACCCTTTGTTACTACAGAAACATCAATATGAAGGTGCTTGAGATGGCTATTGTTTTGTCACCCATTGTCAACCACTGACTATCAACTGCCTATAAGCTTCAGCTAGTCATGCTTTCAAAACATATGCAAAAGCAAAAGGAGAGTAACTGATTAATAACAAACAGTGGCTTAAGCCTTCTATTTACTTACTGCCCACACGGGTGGAGACACAATACTAACATGATTAGCTGATATGCTAATGCACAGGTTCAAAGACTCTATAAGTAATAAGCTTATCTAGTTTTGCATCATTCTTTCACCATGCACTGGGTTTCCAGACACGATGCAAGAGCAGACATGTATAACGATTTTTGGAAACTGGCAGTAGCTCAACTAGACATCTGAAATCCACTAAGTCACACTTACAAAGAACTACTGGATAGCTCGGTGGTTTAGGCATCTGGTTGTGGAGCCAGAGGTTGAATGTTTCATTCCTCACTGTGGTTCCCTGACAGGGGCGGGACTTGATGGTCCATAGGGTCCCTTCCTACTCTAAAGTTATTATTATCTCCATGGTAAAAAAATGTGAAAATCCAAAAAAATCAAACTGCATAAGTAATTGCAACAGAGAATTCAAAAATCTTACAGACGAACTGCTAAAAAAAAAACCAAACAAACATCCCATAAATTACAGCTTACAAACACATACTAAGCATGAAACAAATAACTTATCATAACAGGATTCAACTTCTATATTACGGTGCTAAACACAAGAATAATCTCAGAAACCCGATTGGCAAGAACCACAGATATTTTGTACAAAACACAGTTGTGCCTCCTACAGTTGTGAGAAAGAATGGAATAAACAAATTTGAGACCACCTTTTCAATTCAGAAACATCCCTTAAAGTGCACATTTTTCTAGGTATTCTTTCTTCCTGCAGGCAGACCATTCCTAAAAGTCCATCCAGTTTGTTTTGTTTTTAAATAGACAGCTTACTTACCCATAACCATGGTTCTTCGCGTAGCACTCTGTGAATCCACACAAATGGGTTAAACTGCACCTGGGCAGGACTATTCGGAATATTCTAGAGCTTAAATAACTGACCAATAGAACGTTTCCCCGTGGCACGCATGCCCCGCCCACCCGTGGTACCTCAGTTCCAAACATCTGCCACTGTCATAGCTCTGATAATTAAAAAGCTGTAGACCACTGGTTCTTAACCTTGGGTTACTCAGGTGTTTTTGGACTGCAACTCCCAGAAGCCTTCACCACCAGCTGTGCTGGCTGGGGTTCCTGGGAGTTGCAGTTCAAAAACATCTGAGTAACAAAGGTTAAGAACCACTGCTGTAGACAACCTGTGATGGACAGTGGGGGCAGGACATGTGGATTCACAGAGCACCACTCGAAGAACCATAGTTACAAGTAAGTAACCTGTCTTTCTTCTTCGTGGTGTCTGTGAATGCACACGAATGGGTGACTAGCAAGGAGGGCCATCACGGTAAAACTGAAGACAGCACAGCCCTTTCAAAACTTGATTCCTTTTTGGCTCTGACTTCCAGCCTGTAATGTGTCACAAAGGTCAATGGTGGAGACCAAGCAGCTGATCAACAAATGTCAGAGACTTCAATGCCACGCAGCCAGGCAGTAGAGGTAGCCACGGCTCTAGTGGAATGCGCCTTCAATACATCTGGTGGGGTCTTGCCAACCAGCTCATAGGCTAAAGTGATGGCAAAAACTATCCATCTGGAAACTACGAAGAAACCGAATGACCTTTCCAAGGACCGTGGAAGCAAACAAATAGTCTGGGAGATTTGCGTAAGTCCTTAGTTTAGAAATATAAAAGGCCAAAGCCTTTTTATAGATGAACATCAAGGGAATGGAGCATGTGCTCACCATCAGAAGAAGGGTTAGGAAACAACATTGGGAGGATCAAAGGCTGATTAACATGGAAATTCGAAATTACTTTAGGGAGGAATGAGACATCAGGATATAAGACAACCTTATCGGAGTGAAATTGTATATATGATGCATCAACCCACAGTGCAGCCAACTCACTCGCCCTCTGTGCAGATGTAATAGCCACAAAAACAAAGTCTTTAGAGAAAGAAGTTTTAGAGGAGTAGAAGCCATAGGTTTGAATGGTGGGCGTGTAAGAGCCCTCGGGACAGTATGAAGAGACCATTGAGGGATTGGAGGCCGTACAGGTGGACAAATGTTATTCAAACCTTGAAGGAATCTCTTCACAGTTGGGTGTGAGAATAAGCGGGAAGCGTCTGGACCCACAGGCTGATAAGAAACAACGGCTGAAATATAAACTTTAAGTGTAGAATGCGCCAGTGCTAGATCAAACAAATAACGTAGGAAAGCAAGAAGGGTACGTAAAGAAGCCGGAACAGTCACAAACCTCTGGACTCAGCAAACTCAGTAAAAACAGACCACTTATAAGAATACAGTAATTTGGCTGAAGGCTTCCTAGCCCTGCCCAGCACCTCCTTTATGCTGGGAGAATCCTCCACACTGTGAGATGGAGCAAGTCAATGTCAGGATGACCAGAACTTATATTAAAGAAAATGTTAAGAGTGAAATATCAGAGAACGATAAAAAAGACTTAGATAAAGAAATAAAAGAGGAAGAGATTATAGAGATAATTAATAAACTAAAATATGGTAAAACCCCAGGTTTTGATGGACTAGGTCCGGAATACTATAAAACCTTTAAATCAATATTGATCCCTAAATTAAAAGTGCTTTATAATGAAATCTTGGAAGGAGAGAGGATACCAGATTCATGGAAACATTCATTGATAACTCTTATCCCAAAACCTAATAAAGATCTAACAGACCCAAGTTCATATAGGCCTATTTCTTTACTAAATCAGGATGCAAAGATATTTACAGCAATACTTGCAAATAGAATTAATAAATTTATTATAAAATATATCAAAGAGGATCAGAATGGTTTCTTGAAAGGTAGGCAAATGGAAAACTTAACAAGGAGGGTTTTGAATATTATACACAATATAGAAAAAAATAAACTGAAGGCAGGCATTTTATCATTAGATATATTTGCTTGTTTATATAATACAGAGTGATCATGTTGTCCATAGCCACTTGCACTCCGTAAACGACCACTAGAGGATAGAAAGCGCAAATACCCTTGTTTACTGCCAACATTTCTAGAAGATTGATATGAAGCAGCTTCTCTGAGCTGGACCACAGGGCGTGGATCTTGTGAACGCCACAATGCACGCCCCAACCTGTCGTGCTGGCGTCTGTTGTGACCTGTACAGTCAGTTGAAGGGCTTGAAGAGTCGACCAATTTGAAGATGCAGCACGAAAGTCCACCATGTCAGTTGACGTGATAACTCTGGAGTCACACGTAGATGTTTGGCAGGGCTGTCTAATAACGGATTGAATTGAGACAGGTACCACACCTGTAGGGGGCACATCTTCAATTGAGCATGAGGAAGAGCAGATGTGGTGGAAGCCGTAAAGCCTAAAAAATGTTGCGTGTGATGAGCCGAAACCCTGGCGTACAGGCTGAACAGACGAATAAAAGTAAAGGTTCCCTGTGTCCGACTCTAGGGGGCGGTGCTCATACCCGTTTCCAAGCCATAGAGGCAGCGTTTGTCCAAAGACAGTTTCCATGGTCACGTGGCCAGCACGACTAGACACGGAACGCCGTTATCTTCCCACTGTGGTGGTACCTATTTATCTACTCGCATTTACATGCTTTCAAACGGCTAAGTTGGCAGGAGCTGGGACAAGCGACGGGAGCTCACTCCATCCCGCGGATTCGATCTTACGACGGCTAGTCTTCTGACCTTGCAGCACAGAGGCTTGCAGCGCCATCATGTCCCACCAGTTTGGTTTACAAATACCTAATTCAAAGAGAGATTTTAAATTTCTAACTGCTGTGGGGGGCATGCAATAATCAAGCATATTTAGCTTGCTGTCCCCACGCAAGGGACGTGGTGGCGTTATGGGATAAACCGCAGAAGCCTGTGCTGCAGGGTCAGAAGACCAGCAGTCGTAAGATCAAATCCACGTGATGGAGTGAGCTCCCGTCGCTTATCCCAGCTCCCGCCAACCTAGTGGTTCGAAAGCATGCAAATGCGAGTAGATTAACAGGGACCACCTCGGTGGAAAGGTAACAGTGTTCGGTGTCTAAGTCACACTGGCCATGTGACCACGGAAAGATTGTCTTCGGACAAACGCTGGCTCTATGGCTTGGAAACAGGGGTGAGCACAAAAATTGTCAAGGGGAACCTTTACCTTTACCCCACGCAGAGTTGCTTCCTACCAAAGAGAGGTTATTATAGCTGTGCTGCAAACAGCTATATCCAGCCTTTGTTTAGCATGGAACTCGAGGAGGCATTCGCAAGTTTTCCAGGTAGCATCCCACCAGATGCTGATTTGCTTTTAGGACATTCTGAATAAATAAAATAATCAGTCAGTGCCTAAAGTATACCAAAGCAAAGTGTTCTGCTTATGTACCGCCCCATAGCACTTCAAGCACTCTCTGGGCAGTTTACAAGTTAATTATGCAGGCTACACATTCTCCCCCCACTCCCAGCAATCTGGGTACTCATTTTACCCACCTCAGAAGGATAGAAGGCTGAGTCAACCTTCAGCCAGCTACCTGGGATTGAACCCCGGGTCATGAGCACAGTTTTGGCTGCAATGCAGCAGTTTAACCACTGTGGCACGAGGAAGATTACCTGAAAAGGAGCCAAAATCCAAAAGGCAGGCTGAAAGGAAAAGGTGCCATCATGGCCTACCTGCAAGAGAGCAGAGTCCTCATACAGATCTGGAATGGCCTGTAACAAGTGTCTCCATATCCTGATGTCATTCAAAATAACACTCATTCCTCCACCAGTGAGAGGGTGCCTCATGTTATACGCATCTCCCAGAAGAAGAACTCCTAAAAAAGAAAGACTCCAAAGGTCAACCACTGCTGCCCAAACGTTGTCTTTTGAGATTTATTCCAAGGCTTGGTAAGAACCAGTAACTTAATATGTACAATATCTATCTGTTGTATACAATACAGAGTAACAGAGCTACCTTTTCCAAAACTACGGCATATTTGATGTCATGCACAGACCCCTCATTGAGTCCCAATAACTTTAACAGGACTAAGCTGTTGAGAAACTGGGAGTGGCATTATGGAGATGGGGGCAAGCCTTACAGCCTACTTACTGGCAGCAGCGATACCACTGAGAGTTCAGCTGGTTGGATGCTCTTCAAAAATAAAGCAGTAATGACAATATTGATAATAACCATGTGCTGTCAAGTCAATTCTGACTTATAGCAGCCTTTTCAGAGTTTTCCAGGTAGAGAACGCTCAGAAGCGGTTTACCATTCCCTTCTTCTTGGGACAGCCTGGGACTGTGCAACTTGCCCAAGGCCACAAGATCTGGCTCTACTCACAGGAAGCACAGTGGGGAATTGAACTCACAACCCCTGGCTCCACAGCTAGCTACCCACACCACCGAGCTATCCAGCCAGTTCTCAATAATAAAAATAGATCAATAGATAGATCCAGCAATCCATCCATGGCTTTTGTGCTTTTATTTTCATTCTTGAGAAATGGCTCAACAGTGTAGGTAGATACATCTCCATTGAAATACTCTCCCAATGGAGAGAGAGAGAGATACATATACATGTACCTCCACATTCACATTTGTGTGTGTATACATATGTTTCTATATATAAACACACACACATACTTTTAAAGACTCTTCTGGTCACATACCTGCTTTGTTAACAGAGGAAGGTGGCAAGAAGCTTGCTGGCATAGACCTCAAACGATCATTCTGCACAGCTGTGAGGAAAGATTCCTGGAGGTGTTCTGAAGAACAAATAAAAATACAGTATTTCAGTTGCATCCACATTTGACCAAGAATCAAAAGGCTTCCCTCAAACTCCATTCGAGATTTTCAAATGCCTTCCAACATTCTTAAAGATAACTTGGTGACCATCTCCAAATCTCTACCAAACCAGAGATGAACCCCAGAGAAAATGATTTGAGTTAGTCATTTGGGTTTCTTTCCAAGTTATTGGTACAGAGATGACAAACCTTTATGGAAATTATAGTGACCCCAAACTATGACAATTTTGTTAAGGGGACAACTCAAAACAGGATTGTCTAAAATTATAAAGGGTATGGGGCAAGACCACAGGGTTGTAACAGTATACCAAAATTATATCCTGCATATACTTGACCAGGAAATGTTTGAAGCCAAAACTCTGATATTATACAGCCAGCTACTCATTGGAACCTCAGGAGAACAAGATAAAAGGCTCTAATATGTTATGTGGGCCCCAACTGAAGTTCAAACATTATGTGCAAAATTCAGGTCAAGAAGATCGTAGTGAGTCACAAATCATAGGTGAGTGAACAAAATGTATAAGGCTACTGAACAAAATGTATAAGGCTCATTACTCAAGCCATATTCTACAGAAGAATTTTAATACCGTATTTTTGCTCCATAAGACGCTCCTCTCCATAAGACGCACCAAATTTTTAGAAAAAAACGGGAAAATAAAAATCTATTTTCTTCTCCTAAAAATTTGGTGAGCCTTATGGAGAGGTTTGTCTTATTGAACACACCCTAGGACTCTTTGGAGGCTCACCCTGCCCCCCCCAGGAGTCCAGAGGGAGCGAAACTGCCACCTTCAGGGACTCATCTGAAGCTTCCCAAATCTCAAAAGAGTCCCAGAAGGTGGCGTTTTCGCCCCCTCTGGCCCGGCAGGGGGGCAGGGTGAGCCTCCAAAGGGTTCTAGGATCTGTTCCAGGACCCTTGTGAGGCTCCCCCCACCCCCCACAGGGCCAGCAGGGGGGTGAAATCGCCAGCTTCTAGGACCGTTTCTGAGGCTTAAAAGGCTCAGAAAAGGTCCTAGAAGCTGGCGATTTCGCCCCCGCTGGCCCCATGGGGGGTCCTGGAAGGCTGCCTCGGACCCTTGTGAGGCTCCCCCCACGGGGCCAGTGGGGGCAAAATCACCAGCTTCTCTCCATAAGACACACGGACTTCCCCTACACACTTTTTTGGGGGGGAAATGCATCTTACGGAGCAAAAACTAGGGTAAGCCCTCTCAGTCTCTAATATGACAAAAAAGTTCTACCTAGTTCTAAACAAGACCCAAGTTTCTACCTCGGATCCTTGTGAGGCTCCCCCCACGGGGCCAGTGGGGGCAAAATCACCAGCTTCTCTCCATAAGACACACGGACTTCCCCTACACACTTTTTTGGGGGGGAAATGCATCTTACGGAGCAAAAACTAGGGTAAGCCCTCTCAGTCTCTAATATGACAAAAAAGTTCTACCTAGTTCTAAACAAGACCCAAGTTTCTAAAGATAGAATCAGCCTTTCAAGCTTTCTTCACATCTCAGAGATTATTTTCAACAGAAAGTGTAGGGGTTTTTTTTATGTTTGGCTCTCAAGTGATTTCCTCTGCCCACCCCTACCCCTCACCATCAGGTACAGCCTGCAATCTGTTCAATGACAATCCAACTTCCCAGGTGGCCACCTGTCACAGCCACACAAAAGTACCTCCTGGATTTTGAAACTGTAGGGGAGAACCAGCTATCAGCACTAATTTTTTTGCTAAGGGGAAAAAGAAGCCAGCCTCTTGATCTATCATCTGGGGAAAACTATTATACAAGATTCTTCCTTAAGGCTTCTTGTAGTTTAAGACGTTGAGGGCCATGCCATATTCAAAGACACTTTTATCATAAAATCTAAGATCTGTAACTCTGATAGATCACATCAGACTGTGGAATCTGGAAATATATTATTCTCTCAGTCTGCCTTGGTTTGTTTTTTATCTATATTATTGGGGAATGCAGAGGCTCCTTCAAGAAAAGATGAGCAGCGTTGGACAAGCTTCTTCAAAAATCACACTCATCCATTTCTATTTATCTCACCACCCTGATAAATGTTAACATGGATAGTGCCATTTCAAATGTTTAGCTACAAAAGTATTTTTATATGGCCATGAAAAGGGGGAAAAATGGGCAGATCTTAAACATGACCAAGGGAGAAAAAAAAAGAAGTTAAACTCATCTTCCTCAGTACTGTCTCTCAGTCTAGAGGCTGTTCTATAGCAGCACAGAATTAAAATGAAACAAAATGTATTTATTTATTTAAAATATTTTGCCCGCGCTTTTTCCTGAAAAGGACCCAAGGCAGCCTACATTATTAAAAGACAGTATATAAAGCTCATAAGACTGATTATACAAAAATGAAAGGATCAAATACCATAACATTTTTTAAACAAGCATCATAAAAACACATACAAACTGTAAGTTTATTTATTTTATTTATTTATTCTATTTATATCCCGCCTATCTGGTCAATTAAGACCACTCTAGTTACAATAACCCATTTAAAAACTCCACTTAGGCAACCAGTCCCTCCAATAAGGCTTGCCTGAAGAAGGTGGTCTTTGCCTGCTTGTAGGAGGACAGTAAAGATGGGGCTACCCTAACCTCCCGAGGGAGGGAGTTCCAGAGTCTGGGAGCAGCAACAGAGAAGGCCCTCTCCCATGTCCCCACCAAACTCACCTGGGAGGGTGGTGGGAGCAAGAGCAAGACCTCTTCTGATGATCTTAACATCCAAGCAAGATCCAAGCAAAAGCCAGCAATGGGTCTCTCATTACGTTTGGCCAGATATAACTACATTTTTCATCATCAGTTTATCAGAGCGATAGTCTGCAGACCCAGGAGCTTTCCAAGGTCTAACAGGGTCTGTGTCCACAAGAATGCTATTCTTGCTTTGAAAGTCTGAAAGTATCTGTATCGGGATCTTAATTCATAGTCTCCCCACTAACAAGCATATATATCCATGCACACTTTGTAGATAAAACGGTGGCCAAAACTTTGTACTTCATGTCTGAGGAAATTGATCTTAATTAGCAAAAGCTCACACTAAAATTAATTGTCTTAATTGCTGAGCTGGCAAAACACAACCCTTTTATTTTGGTTTATCATTTCTGTTTGGTTCTGTTAGAGAAAGAGAGAGACAGAGACATACACACACACACACGTACACATATTCATGCACATACATTTGACAAACTGTTTTCATTTTTCCGTACTTAGCTGAAATGTGACTTTTTCTCCATGCCAGAATACTTAGCACGAACACTCTAAACCCAGTGTTTTCCAACCTGGGGGTTGTGACCCTCACGGACCCTCACAGAGGTCACAGAATGCTCTCTAGGGGGTCATTAGTTTAACCTCTCCCAGTCTATTCCCTCCCAAGTTCTGAAGTGGTGGAGGTGGTTGCAGAAGCAGAAGGAGGGTGAGCAGCAGCATCAATATTGCCACCATGTCAGGGAACAATGAGGACCCATTTAGGCAAAAGTAGTAGAAGAAGTCACAGGTTACTTGACTATTATAAAAGGGGGTCACAACTCAAAAAAGGCCAGGAACTACTGCTTCAATCAAACCAAAGTGCAAAATTTGGGAAGGTTTTCTTTGTTTAACTACCACTCCAAAATGTCCCAGCTAGCACGGCTGTTGGCTATGCAAGCTAGGGATTCTGGGAGCCGTATTCCAGAAAGCAACTTTTCCAAGAGCTGTTGAAGATCAAAAAGGAATTCTAAACAAAACACCTATGCTTCTCCGTAAGCATTTAAGCCCAGTTTCCCTTTCATCAAGAATACACCAGTTTATTAGCGAAGGCTTTCACGGCCGGGATCTAATGGCTGTTGTGGGTTTTTCGGGCTCTTTGGCCGTGTTCTGAAGGTTGTTCTTCCTAACATTTTGCCAGTCTCTATGGCTGGCATCTTCAGAGGAGAGCACTCTACAACAACCAATACACCAGTTATTAAAAATGTGAATGGCAGTGGCCTACTTCTGAGCAATCTTGATCAAGAGTGGCTGCCAGCCTATCCTACTTCACAAAGCCAGACTTGCAATCATACCATTTTATAACACAGAGAGAGAGAGACTCAAACAAGCATCTCTGAAACATGTTACCACCATCTTGTGCAAATATTCTTACCAGGTAACTGTGGGTAAATCTTTTCAATCATATATTCTTTCAGGTTCTTTGGCATTTCACCTCGAATGTCAACAAGAACTCGCGTTTCATTGGAAGAAATCTGGTAGACAAGCACAGGGCTAGGATTTCCCAAAACAAGTTCTGCGTGGTTGGTTTTAAACTGAGGTGAATTCTTTAGACAGAAGGGAAAAGGAAAATCATTAAAGAGGGTTTCTGTCTGCTGTTTCTCAGTGCATCAGTTTCTCTGTTTCCCTGCTGCAAATTCAGTGAACAGTTTCAGCAAAGCAGAAAACTCACAAGCTCATTCCTCAGTTTGTAAAATGACAGCAACAGTGACCTACATCAGAGGCTCCTGCTGGGAGAACTGATGAGATAAGGACTGCAGGAATATTTAAATGTGTCAAAGATGCCAAAAAACAACAGCAATGTGAAATAGGAGTGCTCTAAAATATGCATTCTGTTTTATTCATTCAGATTGGATAACAACATTTTTAACTGTCTGTAATTGTGGCTTTTTAGAGAACACTCACCTTCAAAATGCATCCTACAAAATGAGATGGGACTTCAACTTTGCTAGAAATAAAATTTTTCCTGAACTTGGAAAACAGGCCATCAGCAACAACTGTCAGAGGCGCATGGAGCTCCTACAACATAAAATAAACATGGTAGCATACATCACCTCTTGAAGCCATTCAAGTCCCACTGAGGTTTTCAAAATAATGTTGACGTTAAAGGGGTATATTTGTATTTAAAAAAGTGCATCAAAGTTTATTGCTGTTTATGGTCTTTCTTGCATGCAGCAGAGTTAAGGGACATTCAGGGTAGAATCTAATACCCTATGAATCCTATCTAAGCATCTCCAACTTTTCTGCCATTAACTCTTATGACAGAATGCAGAGCATATGCCTTCATCATAAAACCTTTTCTTCTGGCATTCATCCCAACTTTTTGCAACATCATCCCTGATAGCAAGATAAGTTTGTCTTGAAAGCTTGCTCAAAATTTTATATTTTTTAATTTTATTTCTTTGCATGGCCTAACAAAATTATTAATTTTCTCTGCATCCTCTCTCACCAAAAGCAACTGTTGAGGGGCCATACTCAAGAGAACACTGTTGCATTTTTCCCAATTATTTTTCAGAAACAAACTTTAAGACTGAAAATACACTGGCAAATTTAGCCCTCCTTGCTTTGTGCCATTTCTTCCCACAAACCACTCAGCCGAGGGCATTAGTCCCTCTACATTACATAGTTTACTACAGAACAGCTAAAATCTTTGTGAATATTACATGATATCATAAGAGCTTCATGCACTGCTATGAAGAACTTGAGTCAACATTCAACCTGTGCTTCCCTTGCAGGTTTGTCTAAGAAAGCAAACACAAAAGGCTTTGACGGAGCAAAAAGTTTAAAGCTCCACTTTCTTTGTAAATCTGGATATTATGCAGTCTAGGTATTATAATTAATGTACCCATACAAAGTGACGAGAATCAACAGTCATATTGTGGGAGATAACAAAATGCAAATTAGCAATAGTAATTTGTTGTTGTTTAGTGGAGAAGTCGTGTCCGACTCTTCGTGACTCCATGGGCTAGAGCACGCCAGGCCCTCCTATCTTCCACTGCCTCCCGGAGTTGGGTCAAATTCATGTTGGTCGCTTCGATGACACTGTCCAACCATCTTGTCCTCTGTTGTCCCCTTCTCCTCTTGCCCTCACACTTGTTGAGCTTCAGACCATTTCTGGCACTCCCCTCTTTAACCCTCATTACAAGGTTCCTTAATTCCTCCTCACTTTCTGCCATCAGAGTGGTATCATCTGCATATCTGAGGTTGTTGATATTTCTTCTGGCAATTTTAATTCTGGCTTGGGATTCCTCCTGTCCGGCCTTTCACATGATGTATCCTGAATATAAGTTGAATAAGCAGGGGTACAATATACAGCCTTGTCGTACTCCTTTCCCAATTTTGAACCAATCAGTGTTTCCATATTCAGTTCTAACTGTTGCTTCCTGTCCCACATATAGATTCCTCAGGAGATAGACAAGGTGGTCAGGCACCCCCATTTCTTTAAGAACTTGCCATAGTTTGTTGTGGTCCACACAGTCAAAGGCTTTTGCGTAGTCAATGAAGCAGAAGTAGATGTTTTTCTGGAACTCTCTGGTTTTCTCCATAATCCAGCACATGTTAGCAATTTGGTCTCTAGTTCCTCTGCCCCTTCGAAATCCAGCTTGTACTTCTTGGAGTTCTCGGTCCATATACTGCTGAAGCCTACCTTGGAGGATTTTGAGCATAACCTTGCTAGTGTGGGAAATGAGTGCAATTCTATGGTAGTTGGAGCATTCTTTGGCACTGCCCTTCTTTGGGATTGGGATGTAGACTGCTCTTTTCTAATCCTCTGGCCACTGCTGAGTTTTCCAAACTTGCTGGCATATTGAGTGTAGCACCTTAACAGCGTCATCTTTTAAGATTTTAAATAGTTCAACTGGAATGCCATCACCTCCACTGGCCTTGTTGTTAGCCGTGCTTTCTAAGGCCCACTTGACTTCACTCTCCAAGATGTCTGGCTCAAGGTCAGCAACCACACTATCTGGGTTGTCCAGAACATCCAGATATTTATGGTATAATTCCTCTGTGTATTCTTGTCACCTCTTCTTGTTGTCTTCTGCTTCTGTGAGGCCGCCACCTTTTTTGTCCTTTATCATGTCCATCTTTCCACAAAACGTTCCTTTAATAGCTCCGATTTTCGTGAATAGATCTCTGGTTTTTCCCTTTCTATTATTTTCCTCTATTTCTTTACACTGTTCATTTAAGAAGGCCCTCTTGTCTCTCCTTGCTATTCTTTGGAAGTCTGCATTCCATTTTCTGTAACTTTCCCTGTCTCCCTTGCATTTTGTTTCCCTTCTTTTCCCTGCTATTTGTAAGGCCTCGCTGGAAAGCCACTTTGTTTTCTTGCATTTCCTTTTCATTGGGATGGTTTTTGTTGCTGCCTCTTGTACAGTGTTAAAGGCCTACAGCCATAGTTCTTCAGGCACACTGTCCACCAAATCTAGTTCCTTAAATCTGTTCTTCACTTCCACTCTGTATTCATAAGGAATTTGGTTTAGATTATATCTGACTGGCCCAGTGGTTTTTCCTACTTTCTTCAGTTTAAGCTTGCGTTTTGCTATAAGAAGCTAATGATCAGAGCCACAATCAGCTCCAAGTCTTGTTTTTGCTGACTGTGTAGAGCTTCTCCATCTTTGGCTGCAGAGAACATAATCAATCTGATTTTGGTTTTGCCCATCTGGTGATGTCCATGTGTAGAATCGCCTCTTGTGTTGTTGGAAAAGAGTGTTTGTGATGACCAGCTTGTTCTCTTGACAAACTCTATTAGCCTTTGCTCCACTTCGTTTTGAACTCCAAGGCCAAACCTACCTGTTGTTCCTTTTATCTCTTCATTTCCTACTTTAGCATTCCAGTCCCCTATAATGAGAAGAACATCTTTCTTTGGTATCAGTTCTAGAAGGTGTTGTAAGTCTTCGTAGAATTGGTCAATTTCAGCCTCGTCAGTATTGGTGGTTGGTGCGTAAACTTGGATGACTGTGATGTTGAAAGGTCTGCCTTGGATTCGTCTTGAAATCATTCTATCATTTTTGAGATTATACCCCATTACAGCTTTTCCCACTCTTTTGTTGACTATGAGGGCCACTCCATTCCTTCTACGGGATTCTTGCCCACAATAGTAGATATAATAATCGTCTGAATTGAATTCACCCATTCCTGTTAGCTCTGGAGCTACTTGTACTTGTCCTCCACTGTTCCTCAATAGCATGTTAGATGCCTTCTGACCTGAAGGACTCATCTTCCAGCATCATATCTTTTAGCCCTTTGTTTCTGATCATGGGGCATTCTTAGCAAAGATACTGGAGTGGATTGCCAGTTCCTGCTCCAGGTGGATCGTGTTTAGTCAGAACTCTTCACTATGACCTGTCTGTCTTGGGTGTCCCTGCACGGCATAGCCCATATCTTCTCTGAGTTACTCGAGCCCCTTCACCATGACGAGGCAGCAATCATTGAAGGGGAACAATAGTAATAGTGTCACCTAATTAGATACTAGATTTTTACTGATCTCGTTGTGCTTATTTGGGTTATAAGTGTAATTTGGCACTCTACCAGAAACAAATACCATATTTTTCCATGTATATCTAGAGTCTCACCTTTGTTTCTCCGGTTTCCTTATCTTTGTACACAATCCCGAATACACAATCATCTTCTTCAAGCAACTGCATCACTGTTCCTTCAATGAATTTTGTACTGAAAGAAAGCAATTTTTGTTTTAAAAAAATGCACGTTCCCACACAGTGCAGTCACTCAAACAGACACCCCTTCTATAAGGAATATCATTAATTGTAATCAGTGAAAATATTAACTAAAACAATAGTAACTTCAGACTGTTACCGCTGCCCAGGCAATGAAAAGAGATCTGTATTTAGGATCAACCCTAAATCCCACCCCTGCAGAATCCTAAAACAGAAACCAGAACTAAGAGCATATAATCCCTAGTTTAATGTACGTTAATGCACATGTCATTATTTATCACAGATCCCTATCACAGTGCATCCTTTCCTAGTCCCTGGAAATCTACTGCACTAGTAAAAATCCTTTGCTGTGTGGATCACTCCCATCTTGTAAATCTGGATCAGGAACTCTGTCAGGATGTTTTTTTTAATTGCTTAAACCACCCAGAGTAGACATGTTCTAGATAGGCGGTATGCAAGTCCAATAAAATAAATAATAAATAAATAAATATAATTAGCTTTAACTTGCATATGTAATTGACAAACGCAAGGACAGATTATTGCATACTACTGTATATTGTCTTGTGTGATGTTTCTGGCAACACATTTAATTATCAGCAGAATGATAATATAAAACACACAAGGCATGCAAAAATCTGACTATAAGGCACCAGAATGAAATTTAAAATTGTTCCACTTACTCTGGTCAGCCACTGCTGAAGGAGAGGTGTACAATCATTTCTGCTGTTAAAACATCATACTCCCCACTTCAAATCAGAATATGGATACCACAAAATACTAATTTAAGTGCACAGTCCTGCCCATAAAGTCAATACAAATATTCATTACAGTTCACAGACTGCAGAAGGAAGTGCTAGTATTTAGGAAAAATAGCCATCAAATTTACAAAATATATTCTTCCTGTTTATTGCTTATAGTTTTTAAAAAATGCTCCACTTTCCTTAAAAAGAAATCATATGTCACTTACACAAAACTGCTTAATAAAAAGTTACAGAAACTGTATTTTCAAAAGCACACACAAAAAAGCCAACAAAATAAGCCATCATACCATCAAATTTAAGCAAAAAACATGGGGGGGAGGGAGAATCCCAATACAGGAGCAGAAGGGGAAAAATGAAAACATCAAAACAGCCACCAAATCATGCCAAATAAGCTGAATGAGCTTTAACCTCATGTTTAAAACTGCTTAGGGCTGGAGCTAGGCAGCCCTCCCTATGGAAGCCACAGGGCCAGCATCACAACCAAGGCAATCTCACTGCAGTTCAGCCACAGAGAAAACTGAAAGCAAACCTCAAATGCTGATTGAGAAACTTGGAAAAAGACGTTTGGGGCAAATCCTTTCTACCGCCAAACGTCCAGTCATTTAAAGTTATAAAGGCAAGAGTCAAACTCACAATTGGATCTAGTACTCCATGTAAACTGAATAATGCTGGCAAGATCTGTTCTAGTTGCTTGCACAATAGCAAGGTATAGCTAAGCACTGTTTAAAACTACAGACAAAGAAAACCAATTCTAAGGATGATCTCTGGCCAAATATATTGTCTATATATTATCCAATGGAGAGCGAGCACCATGTAAAAGTGGATTAGGACTAGGTTGCAGGATACCTGGGTTGACACCTCCACTTGGCCAAAGAAACATCTCACAATACGTCATCTTACAGACATCCACCAGCAGAGCAGGAATAACATCACCAGAAATAGCAGACTGCTGCTAATTAAAGAGTTCCTTTCGCAATTTCAGGGTGTGTGCAAGTTGCACAGAGAGATAAAGTCGTTTGCATAACAAAATTTAAAAAGAACTCTTAATTAGTAGCAATCTGTAGCTGTTAGTGATGCCATTAGTGTTGTGCTGGTGCCGTTTCATAAAAGGATGCTGGCCGCTATTTATTAAGCAGGAGGGGATTTTTAGGACAGTACAAGGGGGTCACTGTGCCAAACTGGATTTGGTATCCACAACACAAAAATCTGTCTCCGATTTCTTTTTCATAAAACATCTTTGATGTCCTACCTGGGCGAAGACAGGAAACAAGACTAGAGAAAGAGCTATGGACCTACCAAAAGCTCTCTTGGGATCTCACATTTCTTCTGAATCCTCCTTTGCAACTGTCCATAGAAAGGAAGTTTAACTTGTTCATGCAATACTATGGCCTTAGCTCGAATAACCAAAGGACTATTATCCATAGGTGCAAAAACATAGCAATACAGCAGACATGTCTGTATGTGCTAAAGTCAATGCTTGGTTTGTGAGAGAGGCATTTGCACTATGGAATGAGTACAGGGCAAGGAATCAAAATTTCCCATGTGCCTATGAGATGGCCTCAATCCCAATGACTCACTGAGTTTGCCTTCAGCAACAGTATACTTGCACAATTCACTATAAAACATCTACGGACTAGCAACATCTGCAAAGTTACTGACGAGGCTAAATAAAGGCCAACCCATGGATGAAAGCTGAGATACTTCTCATTGATACTAAAGAATAAAAGTGGTACAAGTGCTACCCAAGCGAAGAGAGGAACCGAAACAAAATGAAGCACAAACAAAACAGAAAGATGCACTTCCATAAAGTACCAGATAAGCTGCTCTACAATGTACATTTCTTAGATGTCATTAATAATAAGTATTCTTACTTGGATTCTGCCATAGCTGCTCTTCGGAGGCCCATGATGAAACGCCCGTGATGGAAAGCTTTTCCACTTTGTATTTGGCCATCTGCCCCAGAAGGGTACGGAATTTCAACCTCCGATTTGCTTTCCAGGTCGTGAATGATGTAGCCATTTATTACATGGCCATCAATCCCTTCCACTGCCTCTGCAAAGTTAGTGTCAAAATATTAGAAGCTGGGGGGGGAGAGAAGAACTATGAGGGTGGTATAATATTAAACAACCAGAGGATGGTCCTTCCTATGCAAAGATTTCACATCACTGTTCAGGTTTGTAGGTAAGTGTGGTTTTGCACTGGAACACAGGGATTTAAAAAAAGTAAGCAAGACTCCCCATAGAAAATCCCAAACTCAGCTGGGCACACTATCTTGCTGAAGTTAAGCTTTTTAAAGTTCCATTGATTTGAAATCAATTGATTTATTGTCAACAAACTGGCATTAGACTGGAATATTTAAAAGCTTTTAGCTTCCAGTGGATCACACTTCATTAGGTGAATCATGCTTCATTTCAAATCCACAAACCATTTAAAAAACATTTAGTTTGTAAGGTAGCATTCAGACATCCTATCAGCATCTATGACTCAGAAGCCCAACAACATGATTCTCTATTAGAGATGGGCATGAACCGGTTCATCCCAGTTCATAAAGACGGCATCACAGGTGCTGCTGCTCCCCTCCCCTGTCTCCTCTGGCTCCATCAGCCACTCCCTAGGCCCAGCCTGGTAGCTTTGTGCACTTCATCTTCCAGTCCTGGCAACAGCTCAGGTTTCTCTGCCCTGCCCCCCTGACTGATCTCCTACTCAGACAAAAGGATGAGGCAGAGAAGTCTGGACTCTTGCTCATGACTGGGAGATCAGCCGAGAAGGTGGGAAAAGCAAGTAAGCTGGGTCTGGTGAGTGGCTGAATCGGCTGGGGAGGCGGGGAAGGGCAGCAGCAGCACCTGTGCTGCCACCTTTATGAACTAGGGCAAGCTGAGATGAATTGCTTCGTGCCCATCTCTATTCTCTATTTCTGCTAAAGTAGTTTTCTCCTAAGCCAATCGAACCAGCAAAAACAGGAAGTAGGTTTTCTGCCTACTTTTAGACGTGCATCATATCAGCATATGGGATTTATGGGGATTATTCTTACAGTCTGAGGATAACGACAACCCATTCAGCACCTCACAACTTCACATTCCTTCAAATCATTTGTGACTCACATGTTAACACCTATATTCTCTTTGTCTCGTCTGCTCTTTCCTATTGCCTGCATTGTCAAACTGGTATGCCAGCTTTGACAGGGCAGTCTTTGAAGATCACACAAGGGTTTTGGTGCACGCTTCACCACTCTTTATGTACTGCATCAACGTACAATGCTAATAAAGCACAGCCCCTTCCTGTGGCCACTACATGCTAATGCAGCTTGAAGACAGGAATCAGGCTGCCCAACAATTTTAAGCTACATATTTGAAAACTGCTCCCAGCAAAACAAACTCGTGAAACCTGCTAAGCTGAATACACCTCATAAGAGAAGCACTGCAGCCTTCCAGGCACTTAACAATCGCCCTGCTTTCTGCAACTTCAGACAATCAGCTACAACAGAAACTTTACTGAGCCTGCCAAGCACAATATTAGTCTTGTATGCCTGCTGGGCTTCATTCAACTTTAAAGGGCAGCTTCTCATGGCTGAATCATGTGATGACTCCTTTGCAAGTGGGCACTCCCAAACTACTTTTGGGCAACACCTATGTAATATAGAATTTCTCTAAAGAAAGGTCTGACACCCAGTGAATAATCTAAGAACATCTAGTGCAGGTTTACTGAAGCTAGGTAGGCTGCTGAACAGTCTGAATGGGACAACCAGCAGCTCCATTAAAAAGGATGTTCACATATCATCTCTCTTTTTAAAAGCTAATTCAGATTCTTCAGACTTGTATTGCATTACTCTACTCTTGCAGACTGAAATTCAAATGCATTACTTAGTAGATTCTACTTTGGGCTGTGACGACACCCATATAGCCATTTCAATTTATAAGGCAACAATTAAAGAAAACACTTATTATGAAAGGTGTAGCTAAAAGTGGTGGACCAGCCTATCCACTGAATCAAAAACATGAGTCAAGGAACAAATCTGAACAACATTTACAAATCAAAGACGTTTGCTTATGTCAACAGCAACACACCTGCCAAGCCCAGCTCTTTCAGAGCCCGGTATCCTCCAGGTTGTAACAGCTCTCCAACTATCCTGTCAGGTTCCTTCAAATCCCTCTCAATTACTATTACTTTTCTTCCATCTCTTGCTAGTACTGCTGCCAATGTAGAGCCAAGTACACCAGCGCCAACAATGATAACGTCTGGATCATATTGAGTAGCAGCAGCTGAAGCGGTAGCAGTCTCCGTTGTGGTCTCAGGTGATATATTGACTCCCCTTTTCCCCTGTGCAAACAGAATACCAAACACAAGATAAAACAGGTGCATTCAGGAAATTGTAAGGAGCACACACTCAAGATATATATATTTACCACACATTTGGCTTCATTCACTTCAAGCAGCTTAATAACTCAAGTCACACAATATCATATAAAAAGATTCTAAGCAAATGACATGTACATGATATTATGTACTATCACATTACTTGCAACTTATTGTAACCTTATACATTAGTGACTTCCAAAAGTTCTATTAGAAGGTATGGAAAAAGGATGGTCTTTTTCCATACCTGGTCCAGCTCATGTCTTCCATACCAAAGTGCATACATTCCTTTGTCAGTTCTCCTGTTAGCTCTTTCTCTTTTTCTACCACCTTTCACCTTTCCTAGCGTTATGGTCTTCTCCAGTGAGCCCTGTCTTCTCTCATAGGGCCAAAACACAATAACCTCAATTTTGACATTTTCAGTCCTCGATAGGCTTGATTTCTGCTGTTACATGGCGCCATCTGTGTATCTAAAATTTCTGGTGTTTCTTCCACCAATTTTCATCTCTCTATCTGAATCTAACCCCCACATACACATAGTCCAGCAAAAACTGAAGCTTCAGACTCTTTTGCCAGCTACATTCAGAGCTAAAGTGTAACAATTATTTCAAACTCTTCCCAGAATCTATTACAGTGAACGTCCTATCCATAAAAATCATTAGCTCTATCTTCAGTGCCCTGGACAGGAATAAACATGTTTATGACACAACAGTATCACTCAGTTCCCCAATGCAAGGACGCTCTGTGTGAATTCACGCAACACGTGTTTTATGTATAAGCAACTGTTAATAATGTACTTATCACCACCTATACTTTCTGCATTTCACTTCCCTCTGATCTTCCTATTTATACTTTCTGATAAATTGCAGGACTTCTGGATGGGTAAAAGTGATGCGCAGTCAGATTGTTGAATTAAATATCCAATCTAATTATGTTTTAGAAGTTCCACAAGAATCTTTTAATATAGGAAGGGGGGTGGCTATAGGAAGCTATTGCAGCCAACTTGCCAGAAAATTTTAGAATGAATATGCAAATGCTTCCGAATACTACATGTTTAGCACTAAAATAATAAAACATCATATTGTTGTTGCACAACATTGGCAGTTTTCAGCTCCCTTCAAAGAAAATCAATAATCTCACAGGTTGATGTAAACCAAGCGCTTCAGATGGGGAAGCAGGGAGAGAGAGAAGCAATCCCTGTGGGCAAAATGAAATAGGTTTAGTGACCTTTTCTTTGCCTTCTTAATCCGGTAATTTCTTTTCTGAGATTTTTGTGGGGATTTGAAAGGTAATTACAGAGAAATGCCACCGTTGACAGTTATCCCACACTGCTACTGTAATTATACATTGGTTTAGTCAGTTGCTTAACAGTCATACAATTGAGCATCAGTTACTGTTTTGCAGGCATGGCCTCCTATGAGTTTTCAATCTATACAGTGATGCCTCGCATTACGACGTTAATTCGTTCCAGCAAAATCGCTGTAGAATGAAAACGTCGTAATGTGAAAAGAAAAAAAACAATTGAAATGCATTAAAACCCGTTTAATGCAATCCAAAGGGCTCTAAACTCACCGTCCAGAGAAGATCCTCCATAGGGCAGCCATTTTTGCTGCCTGTGCAGCGAGGAATCCGTCCCAGAAAACAGTGGGGGGGGCATTTTGTTTACCCGGTGGCCATTTTGAAACCACCGATCAGCTGTTGGAAAATTGTCATTTTGCAAAGAATCGGTTCCCGAAGCAGGGAACCGATCATCACAAAGTGAAATTCTCCCATAGGAAACATCGTTTTGCGATTGCAAAAGCGATCGCAAAAAGTTCATCGTAATGCGGTTTCGTCGTTAAACGGGGCAATCGCAAAGCAAGGCACCACTGTACCTTCAAAATAACTATGGGGAAATAGGTAATGTTTAAATGCATGCTTTACACACAGGAGCTCACAATTTCTATCCCTGTAAAAAGAAAATCATAGGCGACTGGGAAAGTTTTCTATCTGAAACCCTAGCAAACTCTCTCTCTCTCTCTCTCTATCCTTTCCAGCAAAATCCAAGGAAACTGTTTCACTCAAAATAAGGGTCTGGTGTCAGTAATAAACTGGATGAGGGTGAATAAACTGAAACTTAATCCAAACAAGACAGACGTGCTCCTGGTTAGTTAAAAGACAGAACAAGGAATAGGGATGCAGCCTGTACTGTACTGGATGGCACTCTCTCTGAAAACACCGGCGTGGTTGGATTCGTCTCCGAGTCTGGATCTCCAGGTTTCGGCAGCGTGTGCACAATTAAAACTAGGGTGCCAGCTGCACTCATTCCTGAAGAAGTCTGATCTGGCCATGTGCCTTAGTCACATTCCCATGTTGGATTATGTAACACACTCTGTGTTGAGCTGCTTTTGCAAAAAGTGTTCAGAAACTTCAGTGGGTCTAAAATGCTGCAGACAGATTGCTAACTGGGACTGATTAGAGGATTCACATAACTCCTCTTATTGCAGCTCCACTGGTTGCCGATCCATTTCCATGCACAATTCAAAGCACTGGTTTTAACCTAAAAAGCCCTGAATGGCTTAAGTCCAAGCTACTGTATCTCAAGGATCCTGTTTCCTTTTATGAGGAAAGAGGTGTTAAATCCTTTCCAGCAAAATCCAAGGAAACTGTTTCACTCAAAATAAGGGTCTGGTGTCAGTAATAAACTGGATGAGGGTGAATAAACTGAAACTTAATCCAAACAAGACAGACGTGCTCCTGGTTAGTTAAAAGACAGAACAAGGAATAGGGATGCAGCCTGTACTGGATGGAGTTACACTCTCTCTGAAAACACCGGCGTGGTTGGATTCGTCTCCGAGTCTGGATCTCCAGGTTTCGGCAGCGTGTGCACAATTAAAACTAGGGTGCCAGCTGCACTCATTCCTGAAGAAGTCTGATCTGGCCATGTGCCTTAGTCACATTCCCATGTTGGATTATGTAACACACTCTGTGTTGAGCTGCTTTTGCAAAAAGTGTTCAGAAACTTCAGCGGGTCTAAAATGCTGCAGACAGATTGCTAACTGGGACTGATTAGAGGATTCACATAACTCCTCTTATTGCAGCTCCACTGGTTGCCGATCCCTTTCCATGCACAATTCAAAGCACTGGTTTTAACCTAAAAAGCCCTGAATGGCTTAAGTCCAAGCTACTGTATCTCAAGGATCCTGTTTCCTTTTATGAGGAAAGAGGTGTTAAGATTATCAGTGCATAATCTCTTTCTCTTGCTCCCACCACTTTCATAGGTGTGTTCCATGAGGATACAGAGGGCCTTCTCTGTTGTTGCTCTCAGACTTTGAAACTCCCTTCCAGAAGAAACCTGGCTGGCCCCATCTTTACTGTCGTTCCAACAAGCAGGAAAAAACCACCCTCATCAAGCAGGCTTTCCTTTAGTGATCGTCTCTCAGAGAGGATTTTAAATGGAGTGCTGTGCATTGTATGTGTTTTTGGTGCTGGTTTTGTTTACCGTTTTTAGTGTGATATCCATTTGATTCTTTTAAAATATTTATATAATTACTGTTTTTAGCTTTTCAACATTGTCTTTTAATGATGTAAGCCACCTCGGGTGGGGTAAAAATATTTTAAATAAAAAATTAAACAATTATTTGCCATCACTGTCCCTCCCAGGAAAAAATGTAAAAAACAAGAATTCTACATTACCCAGATGTTTTTGTTTTGAGATCTCCTTCCCACCAGAAGCTAAAACAGATGATACTATCTGGCCACGATTGCCAGGTAGCACATATGGGAGCTTCTCACCTCTATGGTCTCCACAGAACCAGAAGAGCAACAGTTGAAACAGCTACACTACCAGCAACAGCAATGGCAAAATCAAAGGTATGGGTACTAGCTAGTGTTCATTATCGCTCCACACTTATCACTTCTAATCAATGACCAGTGCCTTGTAACAGAAATGAACAATGGGTTCGTGACCAAGATATAAATTTGAAGCAACAACCAGCAAGCAAACCAGCAAATGGTTTAGCCAGCTTTTTCTACTACACTATAGTGTTTATTTCCTTGTCTATTCAATCAATATGCAGAACGTATCATGCAGAGAACTGGATATGATTTGAATGAAGGAGGAGTGAATGCTGATGGAAGTAACATCAGTAATTTAAGACATGCAGATGGTATCATACTACTTAGTGGAAGGAAACAGCAATTACTTGAAACAGTTGCTGATATAACTTAAATAAGTAGGATTACACATGAGCTTTAAAATGAAAATCATAACTGCTGAAGAAATGCGTAACTTTAATGCTGGTATTAAAGGATTTTAACGTGTAACAGATTTCCTATACCATTTCCAACCAAGATGAAGACTGCAGCCAAGAAATCAAAAGAAGACTGAAACTTTGAAGGGCAGGTATACAGCACCTAGAAAAGTTCCTTAAGCAGAACATTCTGCTGGAAACCAAGCCCAAGGTTATCCATACTACATTACATATAACTAGATATGGATGTGAAAGTTGGATAGTGAAGGAAACTGACAGGTGAAAAATTGATTCATTTACCATAAATTGTGGTGTTGGAAAAGAGCTTGACAGATACAGTGGTGCCTTGCATTATATTAATTCATTCCAGCAAAATCGCTGTAGAACGAAAACATTGTAAAGTGATTTTTAAAAGCCCATAGAAACACATTAAAACCCAATTAATGCGTTCCTATGGGCTTGAAACTCACCGTCCAGCGAAGATCCTCCATAGTGCGGCCATTTTTGCTGCCCGTGCAGCAAGGAATCCATCCCAGAAAACAGCGGGCAGCCATATTTTTTTTGCCCGGCGGCCATTTTGAAACCGCCGATCAGCTGTGCGAAAATCATCATTTTGCGAGAATCGGTTAGTGAAGCAGGGAACCAATCATCGCAAATCAGGAAAAAAACCATAGGAAACATCGTTTTGCGATCACAAAAACTTCGTCATTATGCAATTTTGTCGTAAAACGGAGCGCTCGTCTTGCGAGGCACCACTGTACTACAGACCACAAAGTCAAAAGCAAATAAGTGGGTTCTAGATTCAAATCAAACCTGAATGTTCTCTAGAATAAAAAATGGCTCAGATGTAAGGTTTCCCATATAATGCAAATACAAGGCTCAGTGGGGAAAGCAACCATGTTAGAAAAATTGGATAGTAGTAGGAAAAGAGAAAAACCTAGCATAAGAGAGATTGACTCAATAAAGGAATTCACATCCTTCAGTTTAAGAGATATCAGAAGAGCTACTAATCACAGGACTCTACAGAATTTATTTATTTATATGGTCACCGTAAGTGAGAAGTTAGTTATAATGCATGACAGCAACAACAGTCACAAAATGACACCAGTACTGTATACATATAATTTATATCCCTGTACTTCATACATAAATCAGGCGAATGTTCTGATCATTTTTCAAGAGCTTCAGGCTCGATCAGAAACTCAAACTCTTCAAGCCATTTATTATATTCTCATCAATCAGTAAGAATTGTACGAGAGAGTCTAAGTGACCATTTGAGTGGTGGAGGTGTAACAACAGCATCAGAATTCAGTTAAGAAAAAGGTATTCATTTGTTCACAAACTGCAAACACTCAATTTGTATCAATACAAATTTGTGCTTTCTATCTACAGGTTAATATTCATATTTAGACACAGTCTAACAAGTACTGAATAGAAGGGAACTAGTACTTCACATGATTTGGAAAATGTACTTTTTCTAATGCAACCTAAAATAGCATTTGCCTTTTTTGCAGCTATATCACACAACTGGCTCATTTTCTGTTTGTGATCTACAACAATTCCAAGATCCTTCTCACATTCTGTAGCCACCTGTGGATCCACCTGTCCAGGACATTATATGCCAAAAAAGAATGTGGATCATTGGCAACTTCTTAATTTTGCCTGTGGTAGGCATTTTATAAGCATATAATTAAGTATCAGTACACTGAGTTACTTGTTTTGTATTACAATAATAAAAAGAATTAAGAAAGCCAGGAGTTTTTTTATCCTTATCCCTTTCAAATTCATTTTCTTTCTATCTCTTCTATAGTGTGAAATTATATTGCTACAGAAGAGCAATTACATTAGCTTTGTTTACTGTTTTGAAAGCACTTTGGCTGAAGGATAAGGTAAATACATCTAAATAGCATAAAATGTACATGTGTACCAAGACATAGAGGTCACTGTTTGGCAATTTAATATGAGAGTCAGTGTGGTATAGTGGATAGAGTGTTGATCAAGGAATCAGGAGAACTGAGTTCAAACCCTTATTCAGCCCTGGAAATTCACTGGGGCTGGCCCTGGTAAAACTGTTCCTTGCATACTTGACATATATGGAAAACTCTTAGTATCACCATAAGGTAGATAGCTTGATGGCACATATCAACAATACTTAACAAAACTGCAGTCCTGGACAAACTAAAAGGTACGTCCCACTGAACATAACTGAACTATTTTCAAGTAAATAGTTATTGGAAAGATGGCAAAATTGGAGTCCCAAAGGCCATATTTTCAACCACAGAATACCCCAGAATATAATAACTGGCAAAAAAAAACCCAAAACCCAGAAAGTTTACTTATTTAAAATATTTATATCCCATCTTTCTCCCCAGGAGAAGCTAAAATAGCTTACAATTATTGCAAAAAAGCTGCTGGATAACTATTTCTAGCTTTAACAGATAGGTATTTTGAGATGGGCCCTACAGCAAGCTATTTAAAATGTGGGCTGCACTTCATGTAGGTTTCCAGGAATGGCAATGCATGGCAAAGAGAGAATTATACTTATTATCCATTTTATTTAAAAAAAGAGCCAGTGTGATGCAGCAGATAGGGTAATGGACTTGGACTCAGAAGAAACAGGTTTGAATCTCCACTCAGCCATGGAAACTCACATGATGGTGACAGCAACCTGAAATACTTTGAAAATTCTAACTTGAATGTGACTTGATGACACATATGTCTCTAAGTGGATACATTTTAATCTACATATGTCAGATAGAAAAGAGGTACACTAACCTTTTTGCTGGCAGTATAGGATGACAATGGAGGGGAGGAAAATCAGAAATCTCAAGTGTGTATACTGGTGAAATAAACTGATTTTGGAAGAGCACATTTAATTAACTACACACAGTTAAAATTTTCACCTGTAGTGAATATATGTCTGAGAGAAAGACTTAAAATTCTCTAAAGATTTTTAGTTCAGATTTGTTTTGTTCAATTTAGGAAACACTGTTTGAAATAAACTGCCACCAGAATTGCTGACAGTCTTTCTAAAACACTATATTTCATAAATGAATACTTTTTCCACATACAAAAATATTGAATGTTAAAAGCAAATCTTTTTAAAAGAAGGAACATTACTACTTCTGAATATCGGAGAAAATACCTCTGCTTTGTCATAGCAAGATCCAACATACCTTTCTGGACTTAGGCTGTAAAGTTCCTGGAGATCCAGTATGTGACTTATTCCAGAAAATGCTAATGAGTGGCACAGTTGCCAGGAAATTGGACAGCATTCCAGAATGTTGTCTATGCTTCCTTTGGGATCGATAAAGGTAAGAGAGCAGCAAACCAAGTGAGAAGAACACCAGCATGGAGATCAAAACCTCCTTGTTGGCATAGTTCAGCAGATCTCCACACTTCTTATAGATGTAGATGAACGACGCAATACCCAGAAATGTCCACATGATGAAAAATGGTTGAGTTTTCTCTGTTCCAGGTGGGGTTTATTTTAACAAGCTTTATCACTGTTTAGTCTTCCAAACAGCTGTTCTCCTGCGCACACATACAACTTGAACAAATTTTAAAAAACTACAAAGACTCCCGTTTCAAACAAGAGGGAGAAATGATAGAGCACTATAAAACAAAATCACTCCCTAAACTGCAAGACATTCAGTACAAAATATCCTTTGGTCAATATAATGCAGTTTCTCAGTTTAGGCACCAGGAGAGAGAAAAAATCATGGATGTGTATATCTAGGTAAGCACATATCCATGGAAATTATAACATTTATATCAATTTGTCCAGCACTCTGCCAGTTTGTCCCCATCCACATATTTTTAAGATTCTCAATACTTCACTAGGAGGATCACCCCAAAAAAAGACCGTATGCCTAGGTGTGTTCGCGTGGACACGTTTACAACAGAGAAATATCAGAATCCATCCAGCACATCGGCAGTGTTAACTTCCCAAACTTGCTGTTTCATTCCAGTCCCATCAAAAGCTACATTCCTTTTTTACCTGGAAACAAACAACAAAGAAACAAAACAGTTCTAAAAGAAAGCAGCCACTGTTTGTAGATTATTATTTTTTTGTGGAGGCATCTGGCTGGCTTCTCTGAAAGCAATAGAGCTCTGCCTGATGATCCACCAGGACTCTTGATGACCACCCTTTATTAATTTATTCATTTATGGTATTTAACACCCCGCCCTTTTTTTTTAACTGGATAGGCAATCTCTGTCTTCCTGTTAACAGTCTTTTAAAAAAAAAGACATCCCAGAGAAAGGAAAAGGGGAGGGAAAACAAGAAATACCCGTAGAACAGAGAGATAATGACAGTTTTACATACAAGGAGACGAGACGAGGTGGGTGGGGGCCGTTGCCCTGCTTCTTTTTGGCTTCCGTGTTACCTAATAGATCAAGCTCTTTGGGGCTTCCTTTTGGTCCGCGGGATGAAGGAGGCGAGCCCCCTGGATCCCCTCCTCCCTGAGAGGAAGAGAGCTCAGTCCTCAGGCGCGATTGCACCTCATTCTTCTTCGCCTGAAGGACATGATTTCTTCCTTCTCTTGACACGCACACACACCACCCTCCGCTAAGCTGTAGCCCAACGCCTCCACCACCGTCGGGGAAAAAGGTGCGCTCCGGGATGAAGGAGGGATGCTCTTATTCCAAGCGCAGGATGAGGCGGGAGGGGAGGGGAGGGAGGAAGGGAGGAGGAGGCGGGAGCAGAGGCAGTGAGCGTTGCCATTCGAGAAGTGGGCGGGGCTTATGCTAATCACCAGCTCCCTCCACTCCTCACTCTGGAGGCGCCGCGCGCCTCGGAGCCCAGCCCCTCCTGGCTCATCGGCCCGGCTAAGCCGAGATGGTCTTATGGCGCTTGAGCCAATGAGAAGGGCGGAGGGGCGGGGTTTCAGGGCCCGCGGGAGCGTAGTGCGATGTGACGTAAGACGCGGGAGAGTGGGGGGGGAAGGAGGCGTGTCGCTGGGTTTTGGATTTTTTTTTGACACGCCGGTGAGCGCGAGCTTTACGCTCAGAGTGGAGGAGGCCGAGGGGGGAGGTTGTGGTTGTCATAGTGACGATGGGACGCATTCCCTGGAATAGGGAGGGCGAACTGAGATTTTTTTTTGTGGGGAGCCTGTGCAAAGGGAAGGAGTCCCGGCCCAGAATGGCGCGGCGAAGCGGGGCCGAGAGTGTGGGAAAAGTTCTGGATGAATCGGCGTGGGAAAGGCCCTTGGGCGGAATAAGGCGGATTTTAGTGTGAGCGGGTTGTCACCCACGAAATTTACGCAGAATTGTATTTTCCTCACCGCGATAAGTAACCTGTTGTAGCCCCATTTGGAAGAGAAGAGAGAAAATGCCCTGATAGATATATCATAGGGTCCTATCCTGGATAATATTTTCACTTTTAAAAGGAAGGTGTTGAAATAAAGGGACTTTCCTGCTCCCGTCCTCTCCCCCCCCCCCCCTGTGGTAAATAAGAAGAGACCGTCAGTGGAGATTCCCGAAAAGAAAACGGAGAGGCGAGGCCCGGCGGCTCCACCCAATCAGCACTGTGAAGGAGGTCCAATGCACCAATCACAGAGCTGCGAAGGCTTAGAGGGCGGGGCGAAGCAACGTCGTAGCGTCCCCCGGGATAGCGTCGTGGAGGCCCGCTCGAAGCCGGTCGGCCGCCGTTGCTATGGCGACCGCGGTACCGCTAGAGCTGAGGCGGCTAGTCCAAGAGGCCTCGGCGCTGGCCGGCGTCGTCCGCGGCTCCCTGGGGCCCCAAGGAGGGCAAGTCCTGCTCAGCCGCCCCACCGGGGAGGTGCTGCTGTCCCGGGACGGCCGGCAAGTGCTTGAGGCTTTGAACGTGGCCTCGCCAACAGCCAGGTAACCGCTAACTTCCGCCTCTTCTGGAACCGTTTTCGTTCTCTTAGCCGCTTGTGAGGAACCGGAGCCGTTGGGGCAGGAGTTGGAATCAGGCTGAGGTCCGAGAGCGAATTGGTGGGAGGAACAGAGGCCCGAAGACAGCAACAGACCTACATCCTGCAGCGGCGGAAGGAGGGGTAGGGGTCAAAAATAGGAAAGGGGGCAAAATGTTTTATGACTATTACTTTTTTCAAGGCTCGCCGGAAACCTGCGGAATCTGGGATCCAAAAGCGGTTGGAATCTTTGTCCTCTGAAGGGTGGAGGGGTGGGCTTATTTGGGGGGGTTCTCCTTATTTTGTTGTAGTTTGTTCGAATGATACATGTTTTGTATGCATAGGTTTAAATAAAAAAAATAGGAAATGTCTGAAATGCTTTCTGGCCCTGGCAAGGCGCTCTTCGCCCTCCAGATGTTTTTGGACTAAGAGGCCCACAATCCGTTGCCATTGGCTGTGCTGAGCAGAGCTGACAGGTGTTGTGGGTCTAAAACACACCGTTTTAAATGTGGCCCAAACAACTAAGACATGTATTTTGTGGAAGGAGAGCAGGGAATGTGCATCTTTTTACTCATGAGTCACAACTTCACTGGACTACTAAAATCTCACAAAAAGGCTAGCTTTTGAGTTCTGCGGGACTCATCATCAGGCTGGGCATTGCAGAGTTGCAGTCAGATAGAAGCAGAAAAGTGCCTTCCAGATGTTGAGGCTAGACTTTTTTCGTCGTTCTAGAATGGAGTCTGCAACCTCTCACAACATATCACAGTCATCATGAGGTACCAGATTCGACATCAAATGATATAGATTGCATTGGCTTTTTCCCCATTTTCTTAGACAAAGTGATGCCAATCACTCAACATTTTTTCTCTTGACAAAATAATTTGGGAATTTTTCCGTTTCTCTCCCCACAATCTCATGCAGGACCCAGCCTGATAAATAGAGCTGCAGGACTCAAGGGCTAATCTGCTTGTGAGATGTTAGTGATCTAAAATGGCCACCGATCATTGTTTTTGTGTTTTGCACATGATTTTGTTTTCTCTATTAGAGCCTATTATAGGTTCTCACTGCATGTGAACAATGGCATAAAATTTAGTATACTGTATTGTGCAAATATATTGGGATTTTGTGTAGAAATTCTAAGGGAAGTGTCTGCTCTGTATTTGTGGCAGTAAACTATCCTGTTATTTAATATTTTGTTTCCTCTCTTTGTTTCCACTCTTTTTTGTTTTTTAACAGAATGATGATAGCGTGCATTTCCACACACTGCAGTTTGACTGGAGATGGTGCTAAAACATTTATTATTCTACTCTCCACTTTACTTCAAGCACTTGAAAAACTTGCTAAAGGAGATAGTACCTCCTTCTGTGACAATATTCAAGGTAGAGAAAAATATAAAGAAAAACTTTTTAAATTGAGGCAAATCTCTCGAGTTCTTATGATGATCCAAACAGAGATCCTGGACAATCTAATGACACAGAAACTGGTGCAGCATTTTCTCTCTGTTTTTTCTGTTTCTCACACAGAAATGAGCAGCAAGTCCATGAGGTTGGTACTGGAAGCATATTTCTGCGGGAAAGTAGGATATAATAGGCAAAAGTTTCTTTCCGAATTGACTTCTGACTTCTACTTCAAAGTTACAGCTGATAAAAATAGGAGGGACATACTGTGTTTGGTGGATGAATTTTTTGCCGAGTTGCATGTTACTGTGACAGGCCTTCCTGTTTCACGCTCACAGATCCTGGAGGGGCTTGTTCTTCCAAGAGACTTTGCTATCTACTGTCCTGCAGATGGTGAAAAAAGAGTTCTAATTATAACAGAATCTATTCATTCTTCTTTTTCCGAGTTGGGTGTAGAAGTAATGATAACCACTACAAGACAGTACGACGCATCTGAAATCTGGATTAGAAAAAGAACAGAAGCGCTAATAAAACACATGCAGGACAATAACATCAAGGTGTTACTGTCAAGTGTAAAACAACAGGAAACTGTTCATTACTATGCAAAAAATTGTGGCATTTCCATTGTAGAATGCTTGTCACCAGAGGTCATCTCTTTTATATGCAGGATTACCAATATTTCACCTTTTGTACCATCACGGGACAATATTTGCAGTCAAATCACAGAAACAGTTGTGGCAACATTTTGCCAGCCATTACAACTTGGTGCCAAAAGATTCACTCACATTCACTTTGCCAGGACCTGTGCCCTCCAGCATAGTCTAATACTCTGTGGACCTGTACATGGGGTTGCGAAGCAACATGCTTTTGCTTGTCATGGAGCTTTCAAAATGTTGCAGCAAATGTTTACAGCTCTTCCTCTGACTGAATGTTACGGTTCAAAATCTGAAACTGAAAACTTCTCAAAAGATTTGGATAATCATCAGCAGTGTCCAGCTGCATGTCAATATTTTGTAGGAAAGTGCATTAGTTGTAGTAATAGCCAAGCAAGCGCCATGCAGCTGAAACCTTGTGGGTATAAAATGGAAAAGCTTTCTTTGGCTTCTGCTTCAACAGCAGACAGAGAGTTCGCATGTTCATCAGTGCACCTACAGAAGCCCCTTGGTACTGCTGTGCCCTATTTTGATTTGCAACATGATGCTCTGTGCTCTGTACCACATAAAAGTGAAGATGATGTCGTTAGTTTAGAAAACTTTTCCCCAACATACAAAGATCTGAAAAAGGTGTTGAAAGGGGCTGAGAGTGAACTGCTTGAAAACAATCCATTTGTTTTTACCACAGTACAGCAAAGCAGCCATTCAAGAAATGTACCTGAGCAGCTATACCCTGGTAAAGACAATTATACCAGACCAGATTATATAGCTTCACTTACATATAAGGAGAATAAAGAAAATGGTAATCAAAGGAAATCCAGGTCTTACATAAAGGCAGGATCAGTTGTACCAGTGGGTGGGATCTTTGAAATCTTGTTACATTATTACCTGTCTGACTATGCAAGGCAGTGTCAGTCACCAAATGTATCTGTTCTGTGTGTTCTCATTGCTGATGTTCTGCTCACTATTCCAAAAACCCTTTGTAGAGAAGAAAAAAGGAATGCTTTTCCTCAATTGTATCTTGAAGTTACCACTGCCCTCAGGAATAATCAACCTCCACGAAATCAAAAACATCTAGAATCTGTGTCTTGTAAATACCAATTAGTAGTTTCTGTTCTTCACTGTGCATCCATGCTCCTTGGAATAGACCTGATCATTGGCATTAAGAGATTACCTCAAAAGGCAGAAGATGATAACTCAGACATTGATTTGTGAAGGCAGAGCTCTTGTATACTAGTCATGTCTCTTTAGTTGCTGGTTGCTAGAGCCAGGTTTGGTAACAAGTTTGGTCTCAAATTATTTCACCTTATTTCTTTGAAATCATAGCAGTGCCATAAGAGTGAGGGATGAAGAGACAGTGACACTTGCATACCTTTTTCCAAACATATTTCTTCTTAAAAGACTGTGTGTTTAGAAAATGAAAAAGAACATACTGAGTTTGCAATGCTGTACTTTCTTACTCTGAGAAAGAGCTCATTCATACTGACTGTTTATTCAGCTTTCCTTCCACACATGATGTTGGTACTTTTTCTTCTGTCCTCATGATACTTGAGTTTGCAATGCTGTACTTTCTTATTCTGAGAGAGAAAGAGCTCATTCATACTGACCGTTTATTCAACTTTCCTTCCACACATGATATTGGTACTTTTTCTTCTGTCCTCATGATACAGGGCTGAAATAGGTGTCAACAGAGTCAAAGCAGTGACAAAAATTATTTTCCTTTTTTTTTAATACATCCCCCAAGTATATTTTTGTTCTGATTTGCTACACTGTACGACACCTGTAGATCTTAGTACCACATTGTTCCATTGTGATCTGTGTACTTGGTGGGTATCCGTCACTGGATGATGTTTCCTTCTGCGTGTGTTTCTTTAGCACCACTTTCAGCTATTTGTTTAGTTTGTTTTGGATGTCAGCTGTTCCTGCCTTAATACATCCCCCAAGTATATTTTTGTTCTGATTTGCTACACTGTACGACACCTGTAGATCTTAGTACCACATTGTTCCATTGTGATCTGTGTACTTGGTGGGTATCCGTCACTGGATGATGTTTCCTTCTGCGTGTGTTTCTTTAGCACCACTTTCAGCTATTTGTTTAGTTTGTTTTGGATGTCAGCTGTTCCTGCCTTCAGATCTTTATCACTGGATGATGTTTCCTGCTTGTGTTTCTGGTAGTCACTCTCCAGCCTTTTGCACTTTAGCACCACTTTCAGCTATTTGTTTAATTTGTTTTGGATGTCAGCTGTTCCTGCCTTCAGATCTTTTCTTTTCTTCTTCTTTCCTTCCTCTTCTGTTTCTTCTTCCCTTTCTCCTCTTGCTTTTTTGCAGAGCATAAATATAGCACTAAGACATGTAGCCATTTATGTTAAAAATACAACACTATGTAAGACTGACGGTGAGAGCAAGATTCCTCTCACGGGAGTGCCGTCCCTCCCACTCTCTGCCGACAAGGAAGTGCAGACACCACCTATCATCCCTCCTGGGAAGATAAGACCACCAGGAACAGACCCGGGGATCATAGAAGAAGTTGAAAGGAATGACTGTTAAAGAAAGCGGGAATGTTTTGGCGGGAGCGGAACATCAGCCCCAGGTAGAGGCGGGGCTTGTAGATATAAAAAGGGAGGGCGGAAACCTGCCTCATGGTTGGGAGTGGATTTGGTTGGAAGACCCCATAGACGGGGAAGGTAGAAAAACTAAGAGTCCCAAAGGAGGAGGCGGATGCAAGAAGTGAGAGTACTCATAAATCCTCTTATTGGGAAGTGAGAGACAAAAGAGTGGAAGAGGTAGTTAAGGGAAGAGAAGAAAAAGGTGGAGAGGGAGAGGAGAGAAAGATTAGAATGGCGAATGATGGAACTACAGCAGAGGGGTCCCTCAGAAGACTATGACCGGAGGATTCCCCTTCGCGATACCAGGCCTGGACAGATGACTGGGACAAGGACACAGTCCCCTTACTGGAAGGGGAGACAGGACAATTACTGAACTCTGACTTTACACTGGATTGGCCAGGACCCTGGAAGACCCAGGGTTGCAACCCCTTTAAAGTTAAAGAGTGGAAGCTCCCATCTAACCAGTTCTTAGAGGGAGGAAGCAGTTGGAATACCATTGTTGACACAGGTTATTTGTTAAACAATCCAATAAATGTTACACCAATTTCTAAACCGAGGGAGTCTGTCAATTTATTTGAAGAAAAACCAGAGCCTGAATCTGAACCCTCACATATTTATTTATTTATTTGATTTATATCCCGCCCATCTGGTCTTGTCGACCACTCTGGGTGGCTTCCAATAAAGGAGTATACAATAAAACATAAGGATTTTACAAACAGTCTGTAACATGTGCAGTAATAAAACAAATAGTAAATGAAAGGAAAAAAAAGCAATTAAGTATTGACAGGAGGGAAGGCCTGAACCTACAACCATGTTTTTAGCTGGCTCTTAAAAGTGCCCAGTGTAAGGGCCGCAAAAATCGCCAGAGGAAGGTTATTCCAGAGGCGAGGAGCCACCGCTGAGAAGGCCCGATTTCGTGTCCTTTCCTTCCAGGCCTCCCTCGGCGTTAGGCTCCTCAGCCTCACCTCCTGGTTCGTGCGGGTGATCCGAGTAGATCTAGGTGGGAGTAGGCGTTCCACCAAGTATCGAGGTCCTAAAACGTTTAGGGCCTTATATGCAAGCATTAACACTTTGAAGTCAATGCAGAAATGGATGGGCAGCCAGTCCAGCATGGCCAGAGTAGGAGAAATATGTTGGTATTTTCTCACTCCAGTAAGGAGTCTGGCTGCTGCATTCTGCACCTGAAGTTTCCGCACCAGCTTCAAAGGAAGCCCCACGTAGAGCGCGTTACAGTGGTCTAATCTAGAGATTATGAGCGCATGTACTAAGGTGGTGAGCGCCCCCGTGTCTAGGTAAGGTCGCAGCTGGGCAATCCGCCAAAGGTGGAAAAAGGCGGTGCGGACTACCGACGCCACCTGCGTTTCCATGGTGAGTGTCGGGTCCAGGTGTATTCCCAGGTTGCGGACCCCACTCTTCACGGCCAGTGCTGCCCCCCCCAAACATGAGGGAGCTGCCGAAGCCACCATCCACAGGGCCACCCACCCTCAGAACTTCCGTCTTGTCCGGGTTCAGCCTCAGCCCATTTTCCCGCATCCATCGCAGTACGGCCTCCAGGCAGCGCTGGAGGGACAGGCATCACCTGCAGTTGGTGAAAAGGAGATGTAGAGTTGGGTGTCATCAGCATATTGATGACACGATGCTCCACACCCCCTGATGACCCCACCCAGTGGCCTCATATAGATGTTAAACAGCATTGGGGTGATAGTCGACCCCTGTGGAACCCCACATTTGAGACTCCACGGGGCTGAAATACTTTCCCCAAGCTGTACTCTCTGGGGGCGGTCCCCCAAGAAGGAATGGAGCCAGGCAAGAGCCAAGCCACCAATACCCAACTCGGACGGCCTCCCCAGGAGGATACGTGGTCAACAGTATCGAAGGCCGCCGAGATGTCGAGGAGGACCAACAGAGATATTTTACCCCTGTCAGCCTCCCTCAACAGGTCATCATACAGACCAACCAATGCCGTCTCTGTACCGTGGCACGGCCTGAAGCCTGACTGAAATGGATCCAGGGCATCTGTTTCATCCAAATGTGCCTGAAGCTGGGCACCACCCACTTGACCACTTTGCTCATGAAAGAAACATTGGCGACGGGCCTATAATTACCAATTACGTCCGCCGCCAAACTAGGTTTCTTTCTTATGGGCCTAATGAGTGTCTCCTTGAGGGCAGAAGGAAACCTGCCCTCAAGGAAAGACCCATTTATTATTGCAGTGGCCCTTTCTGTTGTTATAGGCCTGGCTGCTTTGATTAGCCAGGCCGGGCAAGGGTCCGAGGAGGAGGTGGTGGCTCGACAGCAGTCAAGCACCTTGGCCACAGAATCAGGCGTGACAGGCTGAAAGGTGTCGAAAGTTACCGGGCAAGACGGAGCACTGGACATCTCTGCTCGACTCACGGTATTCAAATAAGGAGAGAACTCCCGGAAGATGGCCTCCACTTTAGATTTTTAAAAGGCTGCAAACTGGTCAGGTGAGAAACTAGGGGGAGGCCTATCACCCGAGCCAGTTCCGGATAGGTCGCGCACTATACGGAATAATTCCGCCTGCTGATTTGACGCTTTGCTTATCCGGTTAGCGAAGAAAGATCTACATGCAGCCTTTACCTTATTCAGGTAAAGGTTAGTTGCGACCTTAATAGCTATCCAGTTATAATCTGTCGAGTTCTTCCTCCATCTACACTCTAGACTTCTTCTGTGTCGCTTCATCGCTCGAAGCTCCTGGTTAAACCAGGGCGCTGGCCGAGCTCTACGACGGAGAGGGCGTTTAGGCGCGATCGTGTCTATGGCCCTGGTGACAGCGGTGGACCAGCTGTCAACCAGAGCCTCGACAGGAGCGCTAGCCAGGTCAGCCGTAACACCTCTCATGGCATCCTGGAATACAACAGGATATTAGTGCCCAACGTGGGGCCTTCGACAACGGAAGACTTAACAGACACATGGCTCCGCAGAATCACAGAGGGACAAGAAGCATTGATAAAACAGTTGGCTGATCAACAGAACCTGTTAATAGCTCAACTATCAAAAACTGAACTGAACGCCCCCACCCTGATGACAGAAAACATTAATAGCGACACACCAACCTATAAAAATACAGAAAATGGGACCACTCGACGACCCGGCAGTGTTCCTGAATACATTTGAGCGGGTATCCACTATGGCCCAGTGACCAGTAGAACACGGCGCTGATACTCATGCCATATCTAAAGGGTCTACCACAAGAAAACTCTAGACCTGACGGAAGCAACAGATTACTCCAAGGTGAAAACAGTAATCCTAAACATGCTAAACTTGAATGAAGAGGCATACCAGAGAAAATTCCAAGACCTGCGATTGCACCCAGGGATGCACCCACACCCTAGCACAGAAGATGAGAATCAGTGCTAGCAGATGGATGAAACCCAAAGGAAAAATGGCAGAACAGGTCTTGGAAATCATGATCATGGAGCACTTAATATCACTCTAGGAGCAGGACCCAGAAACTGGATCATGAAGAACAAGCCTGCCGACCTAGAGGGCACTGTAACGCTATTGGAGGACTACCTGGGAGCAGAAGAGTCGTGGACAAACAAAACGGTGACGCAAGTGGAAAGGCCCAGAAACAGGGAGAAGATGGTGGAGGTGATAGCAGCAAA